ATGCTGATGGGACTAAGTGTAAGCGCTCCCTACACCACAGTCCTCAGATTTGTTTTTTGTCAGTCATGAGGCTCCAACTCAGGGCCTGGGTACTGTCCCTGAGCTTTTGTGCTTAAAGCAGTGCTCTACAATTTGAGCCACAGAGCTACTTCTGACTTCTGTGATTTAATTGGAGATGAGTCTTACATACTTTCCCACCTGGGCGGGATCCTCAGATCTCAGTCTCTTGAGATTACAGGCATCAGTCACTAACACCAGACCCCAGACTCACTGTCTCCCCCCGCCCCCAGTCATGGGGCTTGAACTCTGGGCCTGAATACTGTCCCTGAACTCTTCAGCTCAAGGCTAACACTCTACCACTTGAGCCACTGTGCCACTTCTGGTTTCCTGAGTGGTTTATTGGAGATAAGAGTTTCATAGCCTTTCCTGCTCAGGCTGGCTTTGAACTGCAATCCTCAGATCTCAGCCTCTTGAGTAGCTGGGATTACAGGCATGAGCCACTGGTCCCCAGCCAAACTTTTTTTTTTTTTTTGATCTAAACTGCAGGTAAGTTCTCTGGGCTAAAGGGCTTTTGTTTATTCCTTGGTTCTAGGCATCGAAGTTGATATTGATGTGGAGCATGGTGGGAAGAGAAGCCGCCTGACTCCTGTCTCCCCGGAAAGTTCCAGCACAGAAGACAAATGTAGTTCTCAGCCAAGCAGCTGCTCTTCTGAAGTCGGAAAACAGGCTGGAAATGGTGAAGGCACTGCCCAGTCTCTGACAGAACAAATGAAAAAGATTGCCCTGGAGTCTGTGGGGCAGCCCGAGGTAGGCCTGGTTCTTCCTGCCAGCTGAAACTAGCTCACCTGGCACCTAGGCAGCCCTAGGCATTCTGTCTACTTACAGTGTGTGCCTGTGACACTTAAGTTCTCCATTTAACTCTGGACCTGCTTGAATTTTTTTGTACTTTGCAAGACTCTCACTGCGTTGCTGCCTATAACTTTTGCTGGTCTTCAGGATTCTTTCCCTCCCTTTCCCCCTCCCCGCAGTTGCCCGTTTCTTTTTGAACTGGCAGTGTGGTCCGCCTTGTCCGTTGCCCATGGTCCATGTGTATTCAAAGTCTTGTTTCCTCTAGGAACAGATGGAGTCTGATAACTGCTCAGGAGGAGATGATGACTGGACTCATTTGTCTTCTAAAGAAGTAGATCCATCTACAGGAGAACTCCAGTCTCTACAGATGCCAGAATCAGAAGGGCCCAGCTCTCTTGATCCTTCCCAGGAGGGACCTACAGGACTGAAGGAAGCCGCTGTATACCCACACCTTCCGCCAGGCAAGTGGTGGGAGGATTCTGTCCCCTTCTCAATATTAGCAACCAAACCAAAGGATGAAGTGGTCTCTTCTGTAGGACTTGTCATTTAGTCAATCAGGCACTGGGGCTTGAACTCAAGGGACTCAGTCTTGCTAAGCTTTTCACCCAGGGTTGGCACCTTACCACTTCAACCACACCTCTACTTGGCAGCTTTTTGATATTCAGTGGAGATTAGCATGGATTTTCCTGTCCACTCTTTCAACCTTGATCATTAGATCTCAGCTTTCAGAGTAGCTAGGATTGTAGGCATAGTTCAGCAGCACCTGACGGGGCTTGTCTATTTTTTTTTCTTTCCTTTTTTTTTTTTTTGTGGAAATACTGTACAGGGGTTACAATTACATGGGCAAGATAATGAGTACATTTCTTTTTTTTTTTTTTTTTGGGTCCGGTCCCGTGGGCCCTGAACTCTGGGCCTGGGCGCTGTCAGCTCAAGGCTAGCGCTTTACCACTTGAGCCACAGCGCCACTTCTGGCTTTTTTCCCCCCTGCTTATGTGGTGCTGAGGAATTGAACCCAGGGCCTCATGCATGCAAGGCAAGCACTCTACCACTGAGCCACCTTCCCAGCCCATGAGTACATTTCTTATCAAGCATTGTAGCCTCCTCCTTTGTTTCCCCTTCCCATCTTCTCCCCCCACCCCCACCCCTGCAAAGTTGTAAAGTTTGTTTTCAACATAATGACTTGTACATCTCATTGTTGCAATGGGTCCACCTGTATCCCTATTTAAACGATGTTTTTCCCCTTTCTCTCCACAAATTATACCGACATCAAATACAGTGAAAGCAGGGGTTATACCGTGGGGGAGGGGCATACAAAACAACAAAGAAATCATCTTATAAATGTGTTAGAAACAATCGCATGAAAGAAAAAAAAAAAACATTTGAATACATAGCTTAGGGTTCATTTCCCTAACATCAAGGGGCTTGTCTATTGACGAGAGAAAACTGGTAGTATGGCTTGGTGGTAGAGCTCCTGCGTAGCTAGTACCACGACAGAAACAACTATTTCAGTGTTTGCTAAAGCTCAACACCCAGACTAAGAAGGCAGTAGTGAGTGTGGCCTCCTTTCTACTACTAAAGAGTGGTCTCAGACCATGAGCACGTCCTCCTACTGTTCACTTTATTGATAGCTGGTGTCACAATCTAGATCCAGCACATGCAAAGTTCTTAGTGGAGAAGGCAGTAGGACAGGGCAGCCTTGAGTACATGAAGAGGTAGCTGGTACCTAGCTGTAATGGTGTGTCTGTGTGTCTGTGTGTCGAACTCAGGGCCTAGGTGCTGTCCCTGAGCTCTTCAGCTCAAGGCAAGCACTCTGCCACTTCAAGCCACAGTGCTACTTCCTGTTTTCAGGTGATTAATTGGAGATGAATCTTACAGACTTTCTTGCCTGGGCTGGCTTTTTTTTTATTGTGAAAATACTGTACAATTACATTCGCAAGATAATGAGTACATTTCTTATCAAGCATTGTAGCCTCCTCCTTTGTTTCCCCTTCCCATCCCTTCTCATCCTCCCCCCCCCCCCAACCCCCTGGGCTGGCTTTGAACTGCGCATGATCTTCATATCTCAGCCTCCTGAGTAGCTAGGATTATAGGCATGAGCCACCGATGCCCAGCAATTTCTGCATTTTTTATAGTTAATTGGAGATAAGGCAGTTTCTGAACCTCGATCCTCAGATCTCAGCCTCTTGAGTAGCTAGAATTACTAGTGTGAGCCCCTGACACCCAGCATAGCTGTAGTTTACTCTCAAGCAATGTTTAATGTCTAAGTGGATAACCTATCTTTGGGTCAATATATATTTGCCTTGGAGTACCAGGGGACAAGTCAGTCTCTATAAATGTCCTCAGGTTCTTAAGGTTCTTAAACTTGCTAGGCAGGAGCTCTATCATTTACCCAGCCCTATTACTTGCCAGGCTAGTCTTGAACTACATCGCCCAGGCTGCTTTCAGACTCTTAATCTTTGTGCTTAGCAGTCTTCTTGCTGGGATTATAGGCCTGAACCTGCACATTGGCTTGTTTCTTACATTTTGCATGGTTGGGAAGTGAAACGGAGTTTTAAAATAAACTTAAGGGCTGGAGATGGAGCTTAGTGGATAGAGCATTTGCCCCTGAGTTTGATCTTAAATACCTCTCCTTTAAAAAAAATTAAAAAAAAAGGTTTAAAGAAGTCAGAATACATGTGACAATTAGATGATAGTCAATTCCAGTCTTGCTATGATGTAGCCCAGGCTAGGCAGCTCTGCTGCTTTCACCTGCATGTTTGGATCATAGGCCTGCAAAACCATGCCCATCATTTTCATTTGTTGGTTTGTTTTTTGGTGGCAATGTTGCCTAGGTTGGTCTTGAACTCCTGGGATCAAGTGATCTCTGCCTCACTCCTCCCAAGTGGCTGTAGTCATAGGTGTGTGCTATCATGTCTGGCAAAGTTTTATTGGAACCCAATTGCTCAGAAGTGTTATTGGCTGTCTTCATGCTATAATAGCAGAGATGGGTGGTGTGACAGCCTTTGGCAGCTTGCACAGCAAGCCTCAAATGTTTAGGTAGCAGTTCAGAGGATAAGCTTGCCACGTCTGCCTCTGTGCATCCCTGTTAAGGCTAATGGGCTCTGGACAGGAAGCTCTGCCCTGAGTAACATATGGCTGTGACACTCCCCCCTCATGGCTTCTTGTACTGTTTTTGGCAGAGGCTGACCCCCGGCTGATTGAGTCGCTCTCTCAGATGCTGTCCATGGGGTTCTCAGATGAAGGTGGCTGGCTCACCAGGCTTCTACAGACCAAGAATTTTGATATTGGAGCTGCTCTGGACACCATCCAATATTCGAAGCACCCACTGCCGTTGTGACAGTTTGTGTCAAGACCCTACCATCCTGTGTATCTCTTTCTCTGTCTTATAGTTGTCTTGAGTTAGCATTGAGCAGCAGGGCCTTTCCGATAATGGCTAGTTTCTCAGCATTCTTCCAGAATCTGTGGGGTGGGGATGCATGAAGCCATTTAGAGCAGTAGGAGGGGGCAGGAGGGGCAAGTTGCACATAATGCATGTGTACAAGTCATGCCGATGTCTGAGAATAGAACTAGCTCCAGAGCTTCCCTTCTGAGGCCTGGCTACATCTTCCCCGCTAGCATCACACCAGCAGTACCCAGTGTCCTGCCTAATGGCCACCTTTTCTGTTTTTAAAAGTAACAGTTGATTTTTCACAAATGATAATGCTCTAGGGAGCAAGCCCTGTGGTCATTGGGTTTCTCCTGAAGCTAGGCTCACAGTTGAGCCTTAACAGTGGTGGTTTGTGTGTGTGTGTGTGTGTGCGTGCGTGCGCCGCGCATCATGAGGCTTAAACTCGGCCTGAGCACTGTCCCTAGCTTTGTCAGTCAAGGCTAGTGCTCTCTCATTGAGCCCTACAGCTCCACTTCTAGCTTTTTGCTGGTTAATTGGAAATAATCTCATGGGCTTTCCTGCCCTGACTGGCTTTGAACCACAATCCCCAGATCTCAGCCTCCTGAGTAGCTTGGATTATAGGCGTGAGCCACCAGCACCTAGCTTAGGTTCTTTCTTGAGTGCTGCCATCACCCTACTTTTCCTGTCCAGACCTGTCAGCTGCTTTTAAAGTAAGAAATTCCTCTGTAGTTGTCTTGTTACCCAATTTTTAACCAATTAAAACTTAGGTTAAACACTTTAATCAAGGTTGCGGTCCTTTACTGGTTGCAGTGAAAAATGTTTTAATAATTGTGGACTCAAGCTCTTGTGTCAGAATGTAGTCTAAAAATGAGAGAGCTAGTGATGACCTCAGTTCACAGGTCATCATCAAAGTCTTCCCCAGTTGTAAAGAGGTTGCATGGGCTCACTGATGGGGCCTTCTGTGTTTCTTGGTCCAAAGGCTTTGCCTGCACCCAAGGAGTTGCTGTGTCCCATGATCCCTCGAGGTTCTTCCTGATGGGACTCTCTGGGCTGCATGTGGCCTGAGGAAGCTGGATGGTGGCAAGCGGCCAACTTGAGCAAACTTTTCCTGAGGTTTCAGTCTCAGGAGTCTCTTGCTCAGCATATGTTGGACTGGGGCCCCTCAGGAGTGGTCTTGCTGGCTCTGTGTCCACATGTGAGCTGTTTCCAGGTGATGAGAGAAATCGTGCCCACTTAGAAGATGAAGCTTTACTGTAGGACGCAGGACCTGGTTTCCATTGAGGACCACCAAGCTCCCTGGTGTGGCTGTGCGAAGAGTTCCAGAGGCTGACTTGTAGCTCCATTCCCAGCAGGCCAGCATGGTCCTGAAAGAAGCCAGAGAAGAGCACTCCATTAGGCCTGGAGCCTCAGCCTTAGCACTGACCCCTCCACTTGATGAGTCCTGCCTGCTAGTCCTGGAACGATGGGGACAGGCTCAGAGTGAAGATGTGCACTCTACATCACCCTGGCATCGCTGCCCTGTTTGCTTATTCCTGGCCAGGTAGGAGGATTACTTCTAGGACCAGGATGGGGTTATGGTGTGAAGGAGGTGGCGGCACTGTGTTCTCTGGGGCATGGCAACTAGTCTGGGAGCTGGCTTCTCTTAAGAACCAAAAAGAAAGCTAGGCACCACCACATGCTTGTAATCCTAGCTACTGAGTAGGCTGAGAATTGCAGATGGAAGCCAGCCTGGGCAGGACAAGAGGGAGACTCTTAATCTCTAAATAACCACCAAGAAGCCAGAAGTGGAGCTGTGGCTCAAGTAGTATAAGTAGATGACCATCCTTGAAAAACTAAATTTGAACACTGTCCATTCCAGGCCTCAAGTTCAAGCCCCAGGACCAACACAAAGTGTTGGGTTCCGAAACCCCTTGAAACACACAGCACCCCTATACTCCTGCCCAGGAAGAGTCTGTAGCCTGACAGCTTTGCCGCTGAGCAGGCTGTGAGATTAAACAGGACACAGAGTGTTGGGCTGAGCACACAATAACTCAATCATTTCTGTAGTCTAAATTCAGGCCTGTACACCTACTGCAGTGAGTCACTGGGTAGGTATTGGCAACAGTAGAGTTTGACTGCTGTCTTGTCTTGGAGCAGCCTGAAGCTGACCAGATCTTTGCCACGAGGCAGTGTCCAAGTGGGGATTCTCAGCCTCATTCTCAGTCAGACCTGTGTCCTAGAGTGCTGGGTGTCTTTAGGGGAGAGCCCAGAGTAGAGTTCCCCAGTCTGCAGGATGAAGACATCCTGCCTCCTAAGCTGAGCTTGTGAGGTGAGGTGCATGATTAACAGCCCTGTGGCCTAGGCTCAACTACTTGGGAGGCTGAGGTAGGGTGACTGCTTAAGCCCAGGAGTTTGAGACCAGCTTGGGCCTAAAACATAAAAACAAAACCCCTCAAAACCTAAGAGGTCCAGCTGAGAGCATGTTTGCACAATGCTGTTTGCTCAGTGCTCACAGGACCAGAAGACCCTCCGCTCATCCATCTCCTGGGGTTCCAGGTCCTGACATCATGGCTCCATGGAGGCTGGTCTGTGTGCACTTTATTTCCCCAGCCAGCTCATCACCCAGTGGCGCAGTGTCTGACTCCCAGGCCAGCCACCAATCCAGTCTCTGCTCCTGGTTTGTAGTTGCTAGTTTTGTTATTGTTGTTAGTCGTGGGGCTTGAACTCTGGGCCTGGGCGCTGTCCCTCAGCTCTTCAGCTCAAGGCTAGTGCTCTACCACTTGAGCTACTGTGCCACTTACGGTTTTCTGGTGGTTTATTGGAGAGAAGAGTTTCAAAAGACTTTCCTGCCAGGGCTGGCTTTGAACTGCAATCCTCAGATCTCAGCCTCCTGAGTAGCTACGATGACAGGTGTGAGTCGCCTGCACCCCGGCTTCTAGTTTAAGATTGTTACTTAAATTTTCTGGCAGTATTGGGATTTGAATTCAGGGCCCTGCACTTTTTAAATAAGTGCTCAGGTCCCACTGTATTGACTAGGCTGGCCTGGAACTTGAGACCTTCCTACTGTGGTGTCTCAAGTGTGTACCACCATACCTGAAACATTCAGAACGCAGGGTATAGGACACCCTTGCTGTGTCGGGCCGAGCCCTCCGCCTTTCCTTGTGTAGGCAGCTGCACCCCAGGGTTCAGTTAGGGCCAGGCCCAGCTGTTCCAAGCTGGCTGTGTGGAGACGAGCTCCCCTCCACTTGTGCTCCTGCAACCCCTGTCCAGACACCAGCCCATCCCTTAGGCACAACAGTGCTGGCACAGAACTGACTCCACTGTGGAGCGGTCACTTATACATTCCAGCCCAACTCTTCAGGGAAAGCTCAGCTTCTTTGCTCACCAGGAACAGAGCAGCCTGAGATACCAGTGGGATGGTGCAGACTTGGGCCTTGGTAAAACAGCAGGGACAATTTGGTAAGAAACTTCACTGAGCACTGCTTGTCACAGTGGTACACACATTCGTTTACAGCAGTTACAGCAGCCAGCGGCAAGCCTACACGTCCACACTAGGAACCTCGGTACAGGTAACTTGGATTTTCATAGCTGTACTTCTCGAAAATGACAGAAAACCTTGCACAGCAAGTGCTCCACCACAGCCACCTCCAGCCCTAGCCATGTTCTCTCCTCCCCCCTCCCCTCCCTCCAGTCTCTCACCCTACTCCCCTCTTTCACTTTTTTTTTTTTGCCAGTCCTGGGGCCTAGGCACTGTCCAAGCTGCTTTTTGCTCAAGGCTAGCACTCAACCACTTGAGCCACAGCGCCATTTCTGTGTATGTAGTACTGAGGAATCAAACCCAGGGCTTCATGCATGCTAGGCAAGCACTCTACCACTAAGCCACATTCCTCTCCATTTCCCTCCCCCCCCCTTTCTCCTCCTTCCTTCCCCCTCCCTTCCCATCCTCCCTCCTTCCCCCCATTCTCCTTTCCTCCCCTCCCCCTCCTCTCCTAGCTCTTTTCATTTCTCTCCCCTATCACCCTCTCTGCTCCTCCCCTCTCCCCCTTCCCCTTCCCCCTCCTCTCCCCCTTCCCCTTCCCCCTCCTCTCCCCCTTCCCCTTCCCCCTCCTCTCCCCCTTCCCCCTCTCCCCCTCTCCCCCTTCCCCTTCCCCCTCTCCCCCTTCCCCTTCCCCCTCTCCCCCTTCCCCCTCTCCCCCTTCCCCTTCCCCCTCTCCCCCCCTTCCCCCTCTCCCCCCCTTCCCCCTCTCCCCTCCTCTCCCCCCTCCTCTCCCCCTTCCCCCCCTCCTCTCCCCCTTCCCCCCCCCTCCTCTCCCCCTTCCCCCCCCCTCCTCTCTGCTTAGCTTGTTGGAATATTTTATGCAACAAAGTTGTCTGATTCTAGACTAGCAAACAGCCAGTTAGGACCTTTAAGCAACATATAGATAGAACGTGGTGTCACAACCCCCAGCCGGGCCCGGTGACAGACGCACACAGGTTCACCTACCTGCAGACTGCGATTCTCATCCTGTGGCTGGCCTGCATCATCTTCAGTGGCACGCACTTCACTGGCAGGGTTCACACACCTGAGGGGAAGAGACCAGGAAGATGAGGGACAAAGATGCAAGAACAGGCTACAAGGACCTCACAGCAATACTATTTTGAGGATCCTGGGGACGCGGTCTATGGCCACCCAGCTCACACAGGGCTGGGGGACTGCCATCAGTGGTACTCCACCCTCAGGTAAAATTTACCTATCAAGAGCAGCCCAAAACGTCAGGGCTATTATGAAGACAAAATGGTATGTGGCATAGGAAAACAGCTGCCCAGCCACGAGTGCAGGACAGCTGAACTGCTCCCCTTCCTTCTCCAGGGCTGGGGGTCTCGGGTACAGCGCTTGTCTAATATGCATAGGCTCGAAGCTGGATCTCCAGCACCACAGGGAGAAGTAAAAGGCAGACTTCATCAACCCAAGGTTCTCCTGGCACTGTGAGGACAAGGACACTGGTCAGCCGGGAGACGTCCTCAGCTTAGCTCTCCTCTCCCATCTGCAACTGCAGCACTGAGCCACGCAACTCATCCAGGCAGACAAATACCTTTGTCATTACTACCCTGAAAAGAAGATAAAAATTTGAGCCAGGCGCCGGTGGCTCATGCCTGTAATCCTAGCTGAGGCCAAGATCTGAAGATCACAGTTCAAAGCCAGCCTGGGCAGTAAAGTCTGGGGCTTAAAAACTCAGGCATTCTTGCTCATGGTTGGTGGTTGGCAATCTACTTCTACCACTTAAACCACATCCTCAATCCCAGCTTTCTCTTGGTTCATTTGATCAAAGAGTTTCTTGACTCTGCCCTTAGCTGGCTTTGAACCTCAATCTTCAAACCTCAGGCTTTTGAGTAGTGAGGATTGTAGATTTGAGCCACCAGCTTCTGTGGTATTTGATTTAAAAACAATCCAGTTGTTTGCTGCAGTTATGTAAAGATAAAACTGAGTTTCGCAAGTTGGCCTTGGTAATCATTAACTTTAGTTTTGAATTAAGATTTCCCAAGCTAGGCGCCGGTAGCTCACACCTGTAATCCTAGCTACTCAGGGGGCTAAGATCTGAGGATTGTGGTTCAAAGCCAGCCTGGGCAGGAAAGTCTATGAAACTCTTATCTCCAATTAATCACCAGAAAACCAGAAGTGACACTGTGGCTCAAGTGGTAGAGCACTTACCTTGAGCTGAGGGATGGCGCCCAGGCCCAGAGTTCAAGCCCCACGACCGACCAAAAAAAAAAAAAACAAAACTTCCTCCAAACACAAAGGCACAATCCCCTGGTGCCTCTCTCTGATCATATATTAAAAAAAAAAATCTGGATGCTGGTGGCTCACACCTGAAGATTATGGTTCAAAGGCAGCCTTGGGCAGGAAAGCCCGTGAGACACTTATCTCTAACTAACCACCAGAAAAAACAAGTGGTACTGTGGCTCAAAGTGGTAGAGCTGCTAGCCTTGAACAAAAGAGCTCAAGGGCAACACCCAGGTCCAAAGTTCACGCCCCATGACCAACAAGAAAATTTCCTCCATCCATAATCATGTTCGCAAATAATGCTGATTGCAAAACTGATTTCCTATGAAACATTTTGTGGATCTAAAAATTTTAGGAATGATACCGCTTTGACTTGGGAAGATGTTCTGCTCTTACTTTTCAAATATTGCCTTTACCTCACTGCCTCTTTTTATTCTTGGCAGTACTGGGGTTTGAGCTCAGGGCCTTCTACTTGCTAGGCAGGCCTCTACTACTCCTGGGCCACTCTGCCAGCCCTCTCCATTTTCTTTAGTCTTTTTGTTTTTTTTTTCCCTTCGGTGTCACTGGGCACCAAACTCAGGCTTCACACGTGCTAGGCAAGCACTCTGCCGCTGCACGGGCCCACTAGAGTTCTCTGTAGTTGCATTGGTTTTTTTTTTTTTTTTTGTCCGGTCGTGGGGCCTGAACTCTGGGCCTGGGCGCTGTCCCTCAGCTCTTCAGCTCAAGGCGAGCGCTCTACCACTTGAGCCACAGCGCCACTTCCAGCTTTTTTCATTTTGCTTTATGTGGTGCTGAGGAATCAAACCCAGGGCCTCAGGCGCGCTCTACCACTGAGCCACCTTCCCAGCCCAGTTGCATTGGTTTTTGTCCATGGTTCTTGGCTCCTAACTCCATCTACAGGCAGGGAAGAAAATCAAATTCTCTTGTCTAAGGCAGCCATAGAAAACTAGGTCACAGACTAGAACTCACCGAGGGGCCTGCACACACCCTGGAGGGAGCTGTGCTGCTCAGGAGGCCTCAGGTACTGAAGCAGACCTCTGTGGTTCCCCACCCAGCGCCCATCTCCATAAAAGCCCCAGACAGCTCCCTCCATGCTGGAAGGTGGCACACCCTAACTTCAAGCGACCCTTCCAGACCTCGACGTACCTCTTCACCTAGCTCTTTTGTATCTTCAGAATAAAGCAGTAAACATAAACCGTTCGTGTGTCCTGAGTTCTGTAGCCACTCAAGCAGCTGGCCCCAGAACTTCCACCTGTAGCTGGAGCTGTAACAGGTCTGGAGAGGGCAGTCTAGGGGGCTGAGCCCCGAGGGCGGGGTAGACAGTGTCAAAACTGACTGGGATTGGAGGACACCCAGCAGCTGCTGCCTGCTCCTTCCTGCCTTCTGCTGGCTGTGGTGGGCCCTTTTCCTACTGGCCCTGTCCAACAGGGTTTTCATCCCTAGAACATGTTAAATATGTGTCCACCCCTGAGCTACACCCTTGGTCCTATCTAAAAACAGCTTGACTTCCTGGCTCAGCTGGCACTTGTCCACTTGAGCCATGTCTCCAGTCCTGCTATTTGCTGGTCGTTTTAGAGATGGAATCACATGGACTTTTCTGCCTGGGCCTGCTTAGAACCTCTACCCTCTGGATCTCAGCCTCCTTAAAGTAGCTAGGATTACAGGCAGAAGCACCAGCACCTGGCTGTAGCCTGCATTTTTAGTAATTTTCAGCAGACTCCAGTGTCAAACTCAGGAGTCTGAGGGACTTTCCACAGCACTGCCTCCCAGTGGTGGCGGCCACAGCACACGGTCACACATGCCTTTCAAACTGTACCTGAATGGCAGCTCGGAAGCCTGTCCCTGCAGCAGATTTAATTTTTGGACATGGCGTCTGCAGTCAGCACCAGAGCCCTCACCGTAGGTCTGAGAAGGAAAAAACACCCATGAAACAGATCACCGACATGCCTGAGCCTCAGAGAGGATGAGTAAGTCCTGCCAGGCCCGGCACGTCCCAAGCAGTATGACTGTGATTTCTAGACTGTTTATCAATGAATGGGCTCTGAAACTGTGGTTTAGCTTTACCTGGCTGCCCTTGAACTCTGCCTATCAAATCCATATCAACCCACAGCCCCACACAAAATGGTTAGTGGACATGAATGAATAGAAAGGTCACAAGAGAAGCACCAATGATGTCAACGCACACACAGAATACAATGGAAAGAATGCAAAATGACATGGCTTGGGGCAGCTGCTCATTTTGTTCCATCTATGTTTACTGAGCACCTACTGGCACGGGTGCCACGCGCTGCTCTACATGTGGATGCCACACAGCAACGGACAGAAGTCCCCCGCCATGGAGCTCACGCCCAGACACCATAAGCCCGTGAAAGGGCTTGACATGAAGGGGGGGGTGGACACACTTTGTGTCCCCCCAAGGTGACACTTCAGCCACAAACAGGAAGACACTGCTTGACTCCCACCTGTAATCCTGGCTACTCAGGAGGCTGAGATCTGAGGATCACGGTTTGAAGTCAGTCCAGGCAATAAAATCCATAAGACCCGTCTCCAACTAACCATCAAAAAGCCAGACGTGGATGGAGTAGTGGCTCAAGGGGTAGGCACTATCTTTGAGTGAAAAAGCTAAAGCTTGGTTTGACAGTGGTCAGACCAAGTTTAAGCTGCAGTACCAGTGTGCTGTGCGTGCACCTACACACACTCTCTAGGAAGACCATTCCAGCAGGCACAGGGCCTGGCCCTGGGCTGCCGCTGACAGGAGATGGCTGGCTGCCGCTGGTCTGGTGGCTGAGTCTTCCCTATAAGGGAATGGATTTTTTCATTTTTTTTTGTGTGTTGCTGGTCTTGAGGCTTGAACTCAGGGCCTGTGCACTGTCCCTGAGCTTTGTTTGCTCAAGGCTAACATTCTACCACTTGAGCTAAAGCGCCACTTCCAGCTTTCTGTTCATGTGGTACTGAGGAATGGAACCCAGGCTTCATGCATGCTAGTAAGCAATCCACCACTCAGCCGCCTTCCCAGCCCTTCAACTCTGTTTTTGAGGTGAGCATCACCAGGCTCCCCAGCCTGGCCGCTTGAGTACAGGGTGACAGGCTTATGTGCAAACACATTGGCATTGCAATCCCCCTTCTGGGCAGTGCTGGGGATTGAACTCAAGGCCACACACTTGCTATGCAGGCTCTCTACCACTTAAGCCACACCCCCAGTCCCTTTTTGCATTGGTTAATTTTGAGGTCAGGTCTTGCTTTATGCCTGAAGCAAGTCAAGACTCCAACTCTACTTGTGCTTCCCGTATCGCTTGGAGTGACAAGTGTGAGCCACTGTGCCAGTCATAGCTCTGTAGCTGGGCTAACGGGAGAACACCACCACCCTACAACTAGCTCCTAACCATTTAACCTGAGCTGGTCTCCAGCTGTGATTCTGATCTCTGCCTCCCCAGGAGGTAGAGTATAGAACTGAGACACTGCACCTGGTTCTTTGCATTCACCAGCTCAGCATCAGGGATCTTACCAATTGCAAATGGAAATACTTGACAAAAGACCCGCCTTAAAAGGGGCTTTAACAGGGCTGGGAAGGTAGCTCAGTGGTAGAGTGCTTGCCTTTCATTCATGAAGCCCTGGGTTCGATTCCTCAGCACCACATAAGCAGAAAAAGCTGGAAGTGGTGCTGTGACTTAACTGGTAGAGTGCTAGCCTTGAGCTGAGGGACAGCGCCCAGACCCAGAGTTCAGGGCCCACAATGGCCAAAAAAAAAAGGGGGGGGGGGGGACTAACAAATTAGGCTATGAGTATAATGCATCTTCATCTATTCATAGTTTAGATGATGTAATGCTCATTGGAGGTGGTAGGGGAGACTGAGGCAGAAGGACTGTGTGAACTCGGGGGTTCAAGACCAACCTGGGCCCCTAGGGGGGCCCTCTGTCATTCTGTACTCCACGCTCACCCCCAGAGCAGCACGCTGGAGGACACGGATGGATCACACCATTGCATAGATGATTTTGGTGTCTACTGGGCATCCAGGAACTAAGGCTGCACGAGTACCATCATTTGAGCATTTTTGTGTTTTGCTAGCAAACTACCTCTGTGAGCCGAGGAGACGCTGCACCTGCCCCTCTGCCTGCCAGGTCATTTGCACAGGTCATTTGCACGCAGCTGAGCGCCCAGGCCAGTCAGGTGTGTGCTTTCCACGTGGACAGCAGGGGCGCACGGGAAAACCAGCCCGAAGCCATGCCTCCCCTCCCTCCTCACCATCAACCCGGAAGCCCTGGAAGGCCCGCTGGGGGGTTAACTCCAACACAGAGGGCCTTCCAGCCCTGAGCCACTGGCTGTGACCAAGATGACAGGGAGGGTGGTATGCACCAAGAGGGGGTGGTGGGAGGGGATGGAGAGGAAGGGAGGACTAAAAACAGCTGCGTTCAATTTGTTCTGCCTTCCCAGTGCGGTTTGCAGGCAGACGAGCTGTGAAATGTGCACTGTGTGATTCTGCACCAAACACTCCTGTGCTTCTATTTAAAACTGCCACTGCACAATATAAACATGCAAAGCAGAATTCATCTTAATTGGATGTTGGTCTTTTGTTTTTTGGTTTTTCTTTTTCTTTTTTTTGTCGGTGGTGGGGCCTGAACTCTGGGTCTGGGCGCTGTCCCTCAGCTCTTCAGCTCAAGGCTAGCGCTCTACCACTTGAGCCACAGCGCCACTTCCGGCTTTTTCCCCCCCTGTGTATGTGGTACTGAGGAATCGAACCCAGGGCCTCATGCATGCAAGGCAAGCATTTTACCACTGAGCCACCTTCCCAACCCAGTTTTTCTTTTCAAATTCTTTTTTTTTGGTCGGTTGTGGGGCTTGAACTCTGGGCTTGGGCGCTGTCCCTCAGCTCTTCAGCTCAAGGCGAGCGCTCTACCACTTGAGCCACAGCGCCACTTCCAGTTTTTGAATGATTTATTGGAGAAAAGAGTCTCATGGACTTTTCTGCCCGGGCTGGCTTTGAACCATGATCCTCAGATCTCAGCCTCCTCAGTAGCTAGGATTACAGGCGTGAGCCACCAGCGCCCAGCTCAAATTCTTTATTGTGATTAAGTGGTTACATAATTTCCCAAGTTTCACAGTATTGTGGGATAGTGATGCTTAGTTAAAGTCACAAACACATTCTAACTTTCATGGGGCAAATTGTCTATCATGGTCTATAACATTTATGAGTTCTGTGAGCTTTGCAACACAGTTATTTCTTCCACATTGGGTGGTATGTACATTTCTTTTGTTTTACATAGCATCAGCTGGGTTCCCTCTTTCCCAGAGATTTTTGTTTTTTTGGCCGATCCTGGGACTTGAACTCAGGGCCTGGGCACTGTCCTTGAGCTTCTTTTGCTCTAGGCTAGCACACTCCTTGAGCTGCAGCGCCACTTCCAGCTTTTTCTGTTTATGTGTATGTGGTACTGAGGAATCAAACCTAGGGCTTCATACATCCTAGGCAAACACTCTTACTACTAAGCCACATTCCCAGCCCATGTTGGCCTTTTTTTGGGGGGGGGGGGGGGGGGGGGAGGGTCCGGTCGTGAGGCCTGAACTCTGGGCCTGGGCGCTGTCCCTCAGCTCTTCAGCTCAAGGCTAGCGCTCTACCACTTGAGCCACAGCGCCACTTCCGGCATTTTTCTTTTTGCTTATGTGGTACTGAGGAATCGAACCCAGGGCCTCAGGCATGCAAGGCAAGCGCTCTACCACTGAGCCACCTTCCCAGCCCCATGTTGGCCTTTTCTTAGGAAGACATTAAACAGGGCATTTAAGATGTCAGGGAGCCTGTGGGGCAGTAAATGCCTGTAATCCCAGCCCTTGGTGAGTTGTTGCCCGTTTTGGCCAAACAACAAAAAGAAAGTATCAAGGGGTTGGGGGGGGGGGGGTGTAAGGCACTGAGTTAAATCTCCTCCCCACTAAAATGATGCAAAATCAAAAGAGCATTAAAGGCAGGGAAAAGCGTTATATTTTTGTGCTTTTTGGGGTGCAGTGCTGGGGATTAAATCCAGGGCCTTGCATATGCTAAACACACGCTTTACTGCAGAGCTACTGCCGTCCATTTCTAGTATGTTTAACCTTGAGCAGCCTGCTTGTTAAAGATAGGACCTACCCCCCCCCCCCCCACAGGCTCTCACTAATGGGGTGTGGCTTGCTCAAGTCAGGAATTGAAAGTGACCTAATGCATGGTTTAATCCAAGATGGATTCAAAACCTGAGGACTACTGGGAGGCAGTGATGGGCGGCAGTGGAAGGTCCCTGGGGCACGCGTGTGGGGTTACTTCCTGCCCTGGTTCCCTCCGCTGCTCCTGCCTCCAGGACCGGCCACCCCTGAACTGGGCTAAAATCAATCTTTGCCCCTTTATGTTTGTCAGGTACTTTGCCACTACAAAGAGAAAACGAATGCAGTACCCCCACCTTCAATATGCACTGCCACCCCCTCCCCCATATCGCTTATGCTGGGAAGAGACCCTGCAGCTTGGTTTCCCTTCCTCATGGAGACATGTCAAAAAAGCAGCAGGCTGTGCTGTGCCTGCCCAGCTGAGTGGCAGTCCCAGCTGACTGGACCGAACACGAACGTGTTTTGATAGGCAGCTGTGGGGGCCAACCAGGTGGCTCCTCCACGTTCACAATTGGATATCAGCCATTTCAGCAGGCTTAGAGGAGTTTCTGTGGGTCCTGAGCAGGGTATGGTGCTGTAAACTCTCCAGGAGAAACAGAGAAGAAGAAAAGGCAGGAGAGACACAGGGAGAAAGTGAGCGAGAGACGGGGTTAGGGGAAGGATGAAGCTTGTCTGCATCTTTTCTTGGGGAGGGGGGACTGAGACCAGGGTCTGAACTCAGGGCTGCACTTTCTCGCTTCATTTGCTTGCTTATGGCTGGTGATCTACCACCTGAGCCATGCTCCAGTCTGGTACTCTGCTGGTTACCTAGAGATGGATTTCCACGGTTTTTCTGCCTGGTCTGGCTTTGAACTGTGATCCTCCAGGTCTGAGCCTCTTGAATAACGAACTAGGTTTGAGTCACAAGTGCCGTTTTTTGTTTTGTTTTTTTTCTTTCTTTGAGACAGGGCTGCTAGGTAGCCCAGGCTTTTCTTGAACTCATAATCCTTTTGCCTCAGCCTCCTAGTAGGTAGTATTATAGAGATGCCTTTCCACACTTGGCTAGTTTTTCAGGTGTTCTATTTTTTCTTTAAATTAGCTTACATATTAGTTATATGGGAGATTTCATTACCATTATTTCACATACAACACTGATTTCCAATCAATCTCACTCCTTCGACCAGTATCGCTGCCTCCTCCCCCCCCCCAAAAAAAAAATGAAAGCAACCTCCCCAAATAGGTGTCACTGTTCCATTTTCATACTTGCAAATAACCTGTTTGGAGAGTATTCAAACTCCTTCATTCTCCTTACCATCAGGACTTTTGGTCTGATTGGTCAGAATCTCACTTTTTAGCCTAGGTTATCCTGGAACCCTATGTGGTCCAAGCTGGCCCCAAACTCCTGTCTCAGCCTCCTCAGTTTTTTTTATGGTGTGTGTGTTACTGAGGATTGAGCCTCACATTTTCTTTTCTTTTTTTTTTTTTTGGGGTCCGGTCGTGGGGCCTGAACTCTGGGCCTGGGCGCTGTCCCTCAGCTCTTCAGCTCAAGGCTAGCGCTCTACCACTTGAGCCACAGCGCCACTTCTGGCTTTTTTCTTATGTGGTGCTGAGGAATCGAACCCAGGGCCTCGAGCATGCAAGGCAAGTGCTCTACCACTGAGCCACCTTCCCAGCCTGAGCCTCACATTTTCTAGGCAGGCACTCTATCACTCCAGCCCGACTCTGAGCTGGTTATTTTCCAGGTAGGTCTCACTTTATGCCCAGAGCAGCCTGAGTTGTAAGTCCTCCTACTTGTGCTTCCCTGTGTCGCTGAGTGACAGGTGCAACACTGCCCAGCCACTGGAGGCCTTGCCCTGGCCTCAATTTCCTGATCTCCATCTCCCAAGTAGCTAGGACTACAAGGCTGGGGGAGTTCTGCCCTGGGACCCCGATACCCTATAATGTTGACAGCCTTTTGGTTTTTATTTGCCAGAAGCCGTTCTGACATGTTTTTGGCTATTAACAGTAACTAAAAGAACCTGGGTGGGGGTGCATTGGGAGGACACCTCCAGACCAGGTGCAGAGGACCCAAGGCCAAAGCACAGTTACCACCAACCAACCAACCAGAACCTTAATGGGAAAATACCTCTAAAGCCATTCCACTTCTAGGACTTTGTCCTAAGGACACAAATAGCTGGTCGAGCGAACAAAAGGGCAGTTGAAAAAGTTTCAGTGCTGCAGCTGCCTGGCACACCCAACGCCCTGGCTTCAATCACCACCACCATAAAAGGCTTTGCTGCAGTTGTTCATCACAGTGAAGACCCAAATCTACCCAGTGATGTGGGCCTGGGCACTTAACACTTAAGATCAAGCACTTAGGAAGCAGGTGGTGCTAAGAGCTGAACGAACATCCCCAAAGAAACTAGGCGGAGCCTCTGCTGCCATGGAGACTGCTCACACCAACACATCCACATGCAACTTCTAATCAGCACAAGAAGAGGGGGAGCCCCCCCCCGGGATTACAGAGGCCCGAAAAGAAAGTGGGCTTGAGTAGTTTCAAAGAGAATGATGGGGGAACAGATGAGAAAGGCGGGGGTCAGGAAAATGAAGAACCCAGCAGAAGGGATGCGGGCCACGTGAATCAGGAGAGATGGGTCAGAAAGATGCCAATGTGTGCCAGGCAATCTACACATTTGCTCCACTTCTGCACCTGCTCTCCCCATCCCCTCAGCTGCCATCCAACAGCCTTCTGCTGAGCCCACTATGCCTGGCTTCTGTTACCTTTCTACCTGATGTAATTTTCCTTTCATTGTACCGAGGCTACTTTTAAATTATATTCGTGTGTGTGTGTGTGTGTGTGTGTGTGCAAACACACGTGTGTCCAACACTATCAGTGTTCTTTGCAGGCTCTGCTCCATGCATTTCCACTGGTGAAGGGGGAGGATGGGAACGGAGGGAGCAGGAGCTGTGGCTGGGCGCTGCTGGGAACTCACCCGCAGGAGGGACTGTTTCTCTCCACAAGCCTTGCACGTCCATTTCAGACTCTTTTTCACCTGAAATGAAATTGCAGAAATAAAGCTGGGAGCCGGTGGCTCGTCCCTGTAGTCCTGGCTAATCAGGAGGCTGAGGACTGTTTGGAAGCTAACTAGGGAGTGTGACTCAAGTGCCAGCCTTAGAGAAAAAATAAATAAAAAATCAAGCAAGAGGGGGAGGAGGCCCTGAAATCCAAGCCCAGTATCCGTGCGCGCGCGCGCGCGCACACACACACACACACTCTAGATTTACAACTCAGACAATTATATAAAACTAACAATTTTGCTACATGGTGGATTTTATGAAATACTGGCGGGGGTCCGTGGCTCCGGCCGGGAATCCTACCTACTCAGAAGGCTTAGCTCTTAGGATCGTGGTTTGAAGCCAGCCCGTGCAGGGATCTTAGGATCGTGGTTTGAAGCCAGCCCGTGCAGGGATCTTAGGATCGTGGTTTGAAGCCAGCCCGTGCAGGGAAAGTCCATGGGACTCTCTAAAATAGCGGAGCCGTGGCTCAAGGGCTGCATCGCCACCCTTGGGCCTAAAGAGATTCTAAGGCGCGACAGCATCGACAGAGACGTGGTGGGGTACACTCCGGCATCCCAGAACTCGTGAGGCCGAAGCAGGAGAGACCCTGGGCTCCGGGAAAAGATCCCACCTTCAAACAACAAGGCAATCGACTGCCGTGTTTGGCACGCGCAAGGCGTCCCCCCCGCGGGGCTCCTACCCAGCCAGCGGGGCGCGGCGCGGCGGCAGGGGGCGGGGCGCGGCGGCAGGGGCGTGGCGCGGCGGCAGGGGGCGGGGCGCGGCGGCAGGGGGCGGGGCGCGGCGGCAGGGGGCGGGGCGCGCTGGCGCGTGGCCGGGACGCCGCGGCGCGGCCGGCCGGGCTCCGGAGCCCGCCGGGCCCTCGGACGTGCCCGGGGGCGAGGCTCTGCGCAGAGGGCTCCGTCCTCCCCCCGGGCGCCCCACCCGCCGGCCGAAATCAACCAGAGACGCCGACGCCGACCCGCCGAACCCGGTGTGCGGGGCGGGCGGAGCTCCGAGGCCGCGCGCGCCCGCGCTCAACCCCGGCGCCAAATTCAAACCAAAGGCCCGAAACGGGCGGCGTGTCGGGGAAGCGCAGTCACCCAAGACGGCACCCGAACCCTCCGCAGCTTGTCCACCATCGCGTGCGAGAGGAGAGCGAGGCCGGAGCCCGCCTCACCTGGTGAGCCTGGAAGAGACGGCAACTGCAGCACCGGAGGACCCGAGACCGCTGGGCCGACGCCATACGGACGCCCGCCGTGCGCGTGCGCGTGCGCGTGCGCTCCACGACCCAGCTCCGCCTTAGGTACCAGCTTCGGCCCCTCTAGGCCCCGGCGCCCACTCGAATGCACGCGCTCTACGCTACGTCCTCTCTAGGCCAAGGAGCCCACTCGCATGCTCGCGCGCTTCAGCCTCTCTAGGCGACGGTGCCCACTCGAATGCACGCACCCCCCCCCCCCCACTCTATGGCCTCTCTAGGCCCCGACATCCACTTGTATACATGCACCCTCCACGCTGTGGCCTCTCTAGGCTCCAGCATCCACTCGGATGCTCACTGGCCCCACGCAGCGGCCCCTCTAGGCCCCGGCGCCCACTTGGATGCGCGTGCAGCGGCCTTTCGGTCCCAGCATCCACTGAGGTGCGTGCGCGCTCCACGCTGTTGGGCTCTCGAGGCCCCTGCGCCCACTCAGATACACGCACCCACGCTCCACGCGGCTGCCTCTCTAGGCCCTAGCGCCCCACGCTGTGGCCAGTCCTGGCTCTGCTCCCTGGACGGCTCAACCCAGCCAACCGGCCTCACCCCCACAGGGCTCTTGGCCTCTACCTCCCGAAAATCTTGGTGGTGACTGGGAATGACCAAGCTATGCCACTGGCAAAGAAACAACGGCTGGTTTTGATCTGGAGGCATGGCTCAACTGGTAGAGCACCTGCCCATGGAAGCAAGAGTCTCTGAGTTCAAATCCTAATCCTGCCAGAGGGACAAATGGGGCGCCCTAATGGAATGCAGGGTCCTTAGTTCAAGCCTAGTTTTTTGTTTTTTTTTTACTGTAATTTTCAGTTTGAGTCTTCTATCTTGTTCTATTTTTCCTCCTCTCTGCATCCCTGCAAAACGTACTCCTTTAAAAATTCATATATTAATTTCTTGAAAATAATACCGTATTAACTGTATTGATAAGAAGTTTTAAAATTCAAAGCCGGGTGCTGGTGGCTCACGCCTGTAATCCTAGCTACTCAGGAGGCTGAGATCTGAGGATCACGGTTCAAAGCCAGCCTGGGCAGGAGAGACCGTGAGACTCCTATCTCCAATAAACCACCAGAAAACCGGAAATGGCGCTGTAGCTCCAATGGTAGAGCACTTGCCTTGAAGAGCTGAGGGACAGCGCCCAGGCCCAGAGTTCAAGTTATTGGGTAGAGCACTTTGGCTCACATGTATGAGACCCTGGCTTCCACTTCCAGAAGTACATAAGCCCCTCAAATACAATTATTCATGTTGAATTACAGAGTAAAAATGCATTGAAATTGTGTTTTGTTTTATTCAATGTTACTCTTCTGGCTGATAAACATCATTCCAGATTGAATGATTAATAGATGGAAAGAAGTACTATCATGGCTTTGTGTGTGCGTGTGTGTGTATGTTGGTAATGGGGCTTGAACTCAGGGGCTAAGTGCTGTTCCTTCCTTTTTTGCTCAAAGCTGGTGCTTTACTACTTGAGTCACAACTCCACTTTTGGCTTTTTGCTGCTTAACTGGAGATAAGAATAACATGGACTTTCCTGCCCAGACTAGTTTCAAACTGAGATACTCAGATTTTATTTTATTTTTTTTTAAAAAATTTTATTTTATTTATTTATTGTCGGTCATGGGGCCTGAATTCTGGGCCTGGGCACTGTCCCTCAGCTCTTCAGCTAGCGCTCTACAAATTGAGCCACAGTGTTACTTCTGTTTTTTTCTGCTTATGTGGTGCTGAGGAATCGAACCCAGGGCCTCAGGCATGCAAGGCAAGCGTTCTACCACTGAGCCACCTTCCCAGCCCCTACTTTTTTTAAGTGGCTTTTAAAAGAAAAAATAGCCAAGCAACCATGGCTCACACTTGTTATCCTAATCATGGTTCAAAGCCAGCCTGGTGAGAAAAGTCCTTGAGATTCCACCTCCAAAGTAACCAGCAAAAAGTTGAGCTGGAGGCATGGTTCAACTGATTGAGTGCTAGCTAAACAAGTGCTGAGCCAATGTAAGGCCCGAAGTACTAGCTAAACAAGTGCTGAGCAAATGTAAGGCCCTGAGTTCAAACCCTGGTACTAGAAGGAAAATAAAAAACAGGTCAAGCTCAGTGACTCACATCTGTAATCTTGGCTACCGATGAGGCAGAAATAGGAAGGATAGTGGCTTAAGGCCAGTTTGGGCAAAAAGCAAGACCACATCTCGATCAGTAAGCAGGTATGATGGTACATACCTGAGCTCAGGTATGTCAATAGTAGGAAGTCAATAGTAGGACCAAGGTCTGAGGTTGACCCCAAGCAAAAAACACCAGGCACTACCTGAAACATAAGCAAAAAAGAGCTAGAGTTGTGGCTGGAATTGTAGTGCACCTGCCTAGCAAGTGCAAGGCTCTGATTTCAAACCCTAGTTCTGCCAGAGAAAAAAGAAGACAAACCTTGTTTAGTTTTCTTGATGTTGTTTGGCTGCATTTATTAAAATTGTGCTATAAGAAGCTGGGAGTGGTGGTACATGACTGTAATCCCAGCACCTGGGAGGCAGAAAGACTGCAAATTCAAGGTCAGCCTCAGCTACATAGTGAGACTCTATTTTTAAAAAAGCAAATGAAGAACGTGACATAGTAGGCAGAGCCATCATGAACAAGGTAAAGTCATGAGGTGCACTGTTTTTTTTTTTTTTGCACTGTTGGTGCAGGAAACCAGGGCCTCACATTTGTCCAACGCCCCCCACCACTGAACCATACCTCAGTCCTCCGCTTTTTTTTTTATTGTTGGTACCAGTCCTAGGCTTGAAATCAGGGTCTGTGCGCTGTCCCTGACCTTTTGTGCTCAAAGCTAGTGCTCTACCACTTGAGCTACAGCTCCATTTCTGGCTCTGTGGTGCTTGGCTGGAAATAAGTTTCAGGGACTGTCCTGCTTGGGCTGATTTTGAACTCAACTGAAATCCTCAGATCTCAGGCTTCTGAGTAGCTAGGATTACAGGTGAGAACCACCAGCACCCAGCTTCCTCTGCTATTTTTTTTGGCCAGTCCTGGGGCTTGAACTCAGGGCCTGGGCACTGGCCTTAAGACTCTTCAGCTCAAGGCTAGCACTCTACCACTTGAGCCACAGCGCCACTTCCGGCTTTTTCTGTGTATGTGGCACTGAGGAATCGAACCCAGGGCTTCATGTATGCTATGCAAGCGCTCTACCACTGAGCCACACTTTCAGCCCATTCTATTTTTTAAACCTATGGCAGGTGGGCCGGCGGTGTGGGGGGCTGGGAGGGGGGGGCAGGGGGAGGTCTCCCAGTAGGCCTCAGGGTCTTTCTGGGGTCACAGAAATGGAAATGTCTAAAACTTCCCGGTGGATTGGTTGTACAAGTTCACATCTACTAGAGTCAGACTTGGACTTGAACGCAGGCCGGGCTCGGGGCTGTCACAGCCCCAGGCCTTGGCGGGGCCGCAGGAAGGCGCAGCAGGCGGCGCTGGCTCTTTCGTTCAGGGATTTATTAAGGCATCGAGCACGGTGTGATTTTTAGCCAACTGACGGGAATACACGGGTGTGGGGGGGGACGAGGGCCTGAGGGACGCGTCGTCCACGCCACGCCACGTCACGGGGGGGGGGGGGTGGCTGGGGGTCAGGTGCGCGGGCCCTGCCTGCAGCCGACATTTCCCGCCCTCCTTGCTCAGGAGGCCCAGGCGCCGGGCTCCCCCGAGCATCTGGAAGGTTCTGTCACTCTGAGGCCCGAAAAGCACGTTATCTTGCCGCCTGGTGCCCGGGGTCGGGGCTCAGGCTGGGGCCGGCGCCCGGGAGGCGCGGGGCGCGGGGCGCGGGGCGGATCTCAGCCCCGCGGGGCCCTGGGCTCGGCTCCGGGCGGGCTCGCAGCCTCCGGCCCGCAGGCCCCGGAGGCCCCCACCGCTCGGAGCTCACACGGAGACCCCGGGCTGCTCCTGGTCGCTGGAGGCGCTGAACTGCCTCTCCACCGTCTTCTGCTCCTTGATCTTGAGCCCCAGGTCCACCCGCTTCTCAAAGAAGGTGACCAGCGCCGCCTCGGTCAGCACGGACGCCAGGATCTGCTCGAAGGAGATGCACCAGTCGGCGTCCACGGCGCCCCCGGGGCGCGGCCGGGGCGCGGCGGCGGCGGCGGCGGCGGGGCTGCGGGCCTCCCCGCCCGGCGGCCCCGCGTCCTCCTCCGCCAGGTCCTCGCACTGCAGGGAGCCCGCGCTGACCACCGAGTAGGAAGACATGGACAGGTCGTCTTTGGCTTCGTCGTCGGACGGGAGCTGGGACGGCGAGCCCTGGCCCTCGCCCCGGCCCCGCTCGGCCACCGGCTGGCTCTCCTGGGCCACTTTGCCCCCGTGGGTGTCCCCGCCGGCCTTGGCCTGGGGGTCCCCCGCGGCGGGCGGCTGCCGCTCGGGCGTGGAGTCCGGCTGGGGCCCGGGCGGCGGCGGCGGCGGCTCCTCGTCGTCCTCCGCGCCGGCCCCGGCCCCGGCCCCCGCCAGGCCCTGGCCGCGGGGCCCCTCCCGGGGGGGCTTCCGGCTGGCCGGGCCCGAGAACCTCTTGCCCACCTCGCCGATGCGGAGGAGGAGGCTGGCCACCGTGGCGATGGCGTGGTACAGCTCCTGCTCGGCGGGGTCCTCGCTGAACATGTTGTACAGCGTCTTGCACAGCTCGATGAACTGCTCCTGGGCGGAGGGAGGGCGGGCGGAGGCTCGCGGGTCCGTCCCCTCCCGGCCCCCGAGGCCCCGGGGTGACCCGCGGGCTCCGGCCCGGCCTACCTGGTTCATTTTAGGCAGATCCTTAATCGTCTCCTTCTGAGCCTCCTTCTCCTTGGCCCACACCCGCAGGTAGTGGCGGTAGTCGGGCGGGCTGGTCCCCTTCTCTGACAGGGAAGAGCAGGTGCTGGTGGCCGAGGGCTCCCCCACCGTCTGGGAGGGGGTGCAGTGAACCAGCGGTGACCCTGGGATCCCTCCTGTACCTCCTCTTTTTTCTTGGATGTCCTCATTTGCACAGCCTTCTTGCTCTTCCTGTGATAGTGCTTCTGGGCAATGAGAGAAGCCAAGAGAACCAGTGCGGAAATCCCCCCACCACAAACCCCGCCCGGCCCCCTGCGCCGCTGCCCCTGGTAAGGGAGAGCTAGTCATTTCTTCAAAGCAAAGCTCACTGCCAGGGGACAAGCTCACACACAGAAACAGAGCAACAAGATGCCCTGAATCACTTCCCACTACAAAAAATACACTGCTTCAAACCAACTGGACTAGGGGCTGGACTCAGGACTTCCTGCTTGCTGAGACCACCGCCAGGGGTTCTACCACCTGAGACACACCGCCAGCACTTTTTATTAAAAAAACAAACAAACAAACGTTTTAAGACAGGCTCTTACAATAGGACAAAGTAAACGACTCAAGAAACAAAGGATCTCCACTCAGTTTGCCTATCATTTTTTTTTTGGGGGTCCGGTTGTGGGGCCTGAACTCTGGGCCTGGGTGCTGTCCCTCAGCTCTTCAGCTCAAGGCTAGCGCTCTACCACTTGAGCCACAGCGCCACTTCCGGCTTTTTTTTTTTTTTTAATGCTTATGTGGTGCTGAGGAATTGAACCCAGGGCCTCAAGCATGCAAGGCAAGCGCTCTACCACTGAGCCACCTTCCCAGCCCTTGCCTATCATCTCTGACTCCATGTTCTTGGCCACATATGTGGTATATATACGTGCACACCTAAGGGAAGCCAGGAGGGCACAGAATTGGAGGGAAACGGGAAAACATACAACAGAGGGGCCATCAGCTGCACTGCACACCGATGAAAACTAAGCAAGCAGTGATGGGAGGGAGGGAGGGAGGGAGGGAGGGAGAGAGGGAGGGAGGGAGAGAGGGAGGGAGGGAGAGAGGGAGAGAGGGAGAGAGGGAGAGAGGGAGGGAGGGAGAGAGGGAGGGAGGGAATGCGAGGGAGAGAGGGAGAGAGGGAGGGAGGGAGGGAATGCGAGGGAGAGAGGGAACAGCTAACACTAAGCAAAAGGAAAGAAACATACATATCACTCAATGTGGAAGAAATGGTTGTACTGTCAAAGCTCATAGAACTCACAAATATTATAGACCATGGTAATGACAATTTGCCTTGTGAAGATTAAAATGTGTTTGTGACTTTAAGTATCACTATCTCACAATACTGTGAAATTTCTGAAATTTATGTAGTCAATCTCAATAAAAACAATTATTTTTTAAAAAAGATAGGCTCTTGCTTTTCCCCCTAGGCCAAACACCAAACTGTGATCTTATTTATGTCTCCCATTAGCTGGGCTCACATGACCTTTTTGCCCTGGTTGGCCTCAAACCACCATCCTCTCCATTTCTACCTTCCAAGTAACTAGGATTACAGGGTGAGCCATCCTCCTAGGTCATGCAGTGTTTAAGTGAATGAGGATGCACATTATGGGCAATAGCCTGAGGGTAAATGAACGGTGTCACTTCTGCTGAGAAGTCACGCAGATCAGTCCCACCTGTGCTGCTAGCTGGACCCCAAGTACATCTTCTGACTGTCCTGGGCACCCTGGTGCACCCTGGGTCTTTCGTTTGTTTTTCGGGTGAGTTCTTTGGTGTATATCGTGCATGAGAAAATATAATGCTTTTACTCTGTCTTTTTTTTGAAACAGGGTTTTGTTACACAGCCCAAGTGGCCTCAAACGCTTGTCCTGCCTGCCTCAGCCTTCTGAGGGCTAGGATTACACAGGTGTGCACCACCACACGCTTGGCTATTTTATTTGTACCTTTATTTTTTGGTCGGTGGTGGGCTTTGAACTCTAGGCCTGAGCGCTGTCCCTCAGCTCTTCAGTTCAAGGCTAGCACTCTACCACTTGAGCTACAGCACCACTTCCTGTTTTCTGGTGGTTTATTGAAGATAAAGAGTTTCACAGACTTTCCTGCCCGGGCTGGCTTTGAACTGTGATCCTCAGATCTCAGCCTCCTGAGTAGCCAGGATTACAGTCGTGAGCCAATGGCGCCTGGCTTTTTTTTATTTTTTAAACAACGCTAAGGTAGACTCTAGGGAAGCATTCAACCACTGAACCCTAACCCCCCCCCACCCCACCCCAGCCCCACGGTCACGGCCACATTTGTAGGTTGCTTTTTTCTTTTTTTTTTTTTAATATATTTTTGGGTCCGGTCATGGGTCCTGAACTCTGGGCCTGGGCGCTGTCCCTCAGCTCTTCAGCTCAAGGCTAGCGCTCTACCACTTGAGCCACAGCGCCACTTCTGTTTTTTTTCTTTTTGCTTATGTGGTGCTGAGGAATCGAACCCAGGGCTTCAGGCATGCAATGCAAGCGCTCTACCACTGAGCCAACTTCCCGGCCCCACATTTGTAGGTTTATCACAGTGATGACCTAGCCTGGCGGATCCCAGGGCCTACAGCGTCCCTCCCCGGCTCAGAGGTTCCCAAGGAGCTGTGTTTTTCCTTTTGTCTGTTCTAGGGATTGAATTCAGGGCCTTGTTGCTATCACCCAGCTTTCTTACTTGGCTGGCACTGTACCACTTGAACCTGGCTTTTTTTTTTTTTTGGCTAATTAATTGGAAATGGAGTCGAGAAGACTTTGCCCGGTCTGGTTTTGAGTCACGATCCTCCAGATCTCAGTCTTCTGAGTAGTCAGGATGAAGGGCATGAGTCACTGGGACCCAGCCAGCCTTTTTATGATTTTTTTTTGTCAGTTGTGTGGCAGGGTCCTTCTACATAGTTTCTGGGCCTCCAAGGGTTGGGAGGATGAAGCCGGGGTCAGGAAAGCACCCACCCAGCGGGGACTGACCTTGAACCTCCCAGGGCAGGAAAAGATCCAGATCTGAGGCCAGAGGAGATGCTGGGGCGGCAGAGGAGGTGCAGAGGGCAGAGAGAAGAGAAGCCGAGGTCCGAGGAGACAGAGATGCAGAGAAACAGGAATTGAGAACACGCGCAGGGACCAAGTCGGCCCAGGAACCGCGGGCGGGGCCTTCTGGGGAGCACCCCTTTGAGGCATGCTCCCTGAGCCCAAGCACCTGGCTGGCCACCTACGGGGCCCCCTGGGGAGCTGGGGGGTGCGGTGGCAGGGTGGCTCACCCTCTGAGGAGCTGTCCTCCGTGAAGTAATGTGTGGCCTCCAGCGCTGACTCGGCCTCCTCTGGGCTGAGAGCTGTTTGAAGAGGCAGAAAGGTGAGCGCCACAGAAGGCAGTGTGACCCTTGCTCGGAGCAGACCCGGAGTCCCGACAGAGGTCTCCACCAGGCCCAGCGCCACAGATGATGATGCCTGGTAACAGGCCGGGCTGGACTGCTCAGAGAGAGCCTCTGGCCTCGGCCTCCTCAGGGCTGTTACACGCTCTGTGCCTGCCTGCGTCTGTTTCCTCCCGAGGAAATGGCAGAACCTTCCTTAGTGGATTCTGCAAGTGGCCATCCTCACCTAGAAGGCTGAGCACTGGCCACCCCCAGCGGGAGCTGGCTGCAGGGGCGTCTCTCTGGTCTGTGAAGTTCCCCCCCCCCCTCCCCGGGCCTTACCCCTCCCTAGGCCTGGGCTTGAACTCTGGGCCTGGGCACTATCCCTCAGCTCTTCAGCTCAAGGCGAGCGCTCTACCACTTGAGCCACAGCACCACCTCCAATTTTTTTCTGAGTGGTTTACTGGAGCTAAAAGTCTCATGGACTTTCCTGCCCGGGCTGGCTTTGAACCTCGATCCTCAGAGCTCAGCCTCCTGAGTAGCTAGGGTTACAGGCGTGAGCCACCGGCTCAACAGGAAATCTTCTGTCCACAGTGGCCAGTAGGCTGCAGCACCTCTGAGGGACTGGTGCCTTGAGGCCGCGTGACAGGATGCTCGGGTGGCTTTGGTTTGCCCCAGGCTGACACTCTGGGGACAAACAGGAGCCCTTGAGAAACTCATGAATGCAGTGACTCCGTTTCCCACAGGCCTCTCCACTCGTGTTCTCCTTCCTGGCCCCAGCGTCTGGGGTGTGGCCGGCTCTGCTGCACAGATGCGACTCTCCGCATCCCTTCCCTGCCACGGCCCAGTGCTCGACCTGGGCTCCGGAACTTTGCTCCCTGCGCCTCCATACCGGACTAGGGGGCTTCCATGTGGCTGCTTCAGGGCCCAACCATCCTACAGAGGCCTGAGCCTCCGCACCCCTAGATGCTAACCTCCAACCCTGGAGTGGAGGCCAAGGCTCACCTGGGGGCAGGTGCAGCTTGTAGAGCACCTTGAGCTTCTCGGTGAGGTCCCCGTGGTACATCCCGCCTGTGGGGCAGGGCAGGGCGGAGGGGCGCTGGCAAGAGGGCTCCAAAACCCAGCACTCCCTCCCCCCCAGTTCCAGTGGGAGGCTTCCCGGCTGGGTTGCCTGATGAGCCTTAGGCCTCTTGCTTTCCCAGGACCCTGCTCTGGGGGCAGCAGCCCTGGACTGAGGGATGGAGGGCAGCCCCTCGTGGGTCAACCGCTCTCTCCTCGCCACGGGCCAAGGGCTCGCGGCCCCTGTGCTGGCTGCCGCAGGACAGGCGTCTGGCTAGCGCCTGCCAAGCCTCCTGGCAGGCTGGAGAGGCACTCACTCATCCCTGTCACGAACTCCTTGAAGTTGATCAGCGAGTCCTTGTTTTGGTCCAGGAGCCGGAACATGCGGCCCGCCAGCACGGGCAGGTGGGAGCCGCACGCCCAGGGCGTCAGGCTGGCGAAGAGGTCTCGGAACTGGCTGGCGTCGATCCTGTACTGCTCCAGGTAGGGCAGGCTGGGGTCCCGGCGGACTGCGGCAGGGCGGCCACTGCCCCAGTACTGGCTCGCCAGGTGCTTGGCCTGCAGGGGACAGAGGCCCGTGAGACGGCCTCTTGGGCTGGGCCGGAAGCGGTGCATTCCTACACCTTTCAGTTCAGCGCTGGATGCATTTCTGTGTAAGTTGACTTGAATGGACTTTCTTTTCTTTTTGGTGGTATCAGTACTGGGGCTTAAACTCAGGGCCTCGGTGCTGTCCCTAAGCTCTTGTGCTCAAGGCTAGCACTCTAGCCACTGGTGGCCAGCCTTACTGCCAGCTTTTTAGTGGTTCATTGGAGATAATAATCTTTAATTTTCTTGCTTAGGCTGGCTTAGAACCTCAATCTTCAGATCTCAGCCTCCTCAGTAGTTAAGATTGTTAAGATTACAGGTGTGAGCCGGGCACTGGTGGCTCACACCTGTAATTCTAGCTGCTCAGGAGGCTGAGATCTGGGGCTCATAGTTCAAAACCAGCACAGGCAGAAAAGTCCATGAGATTCCAGATTCTTATCTCCAATTAATCACAAGAAAACCAGAAGTGGAGCTGTGGCTCAAAGTGGTAGAGCGCTAGCCTTGATCACTCTCAAGGGACAGCACCCAGGCCAAGTTCAAGCCCTACAACTGACAACAAATTAAAAATAAAAAAAATACAGGTATGAGTCACCAGCGACTGGCTTTGAATGGATTTTCTACTCTTTACTCTGTGTGTGCGCGCACACACGTGTGCGTGTGCACACACATGCATGGGTCCCCATACTGGAGTTTGAGCCCAGGCCCAGAGTTCAAGCCCCACAACCAACAATAACAAGAACAACAACAACGAAGTTTCACAGACTTTCCTGTCCAGGCTGGCTTTGAACCGTCATCCTCAGACCTCAGCCTTGTGAGTAGCTAGGATGACAGGTGTGAGCCACCGGCGCCTGGCGTTCACTTTGCTTTTTTGTTCATGGTTGGATCTGCCACATGAGCTGGTTAATCGGAGGCAGAGTCTCACAGACTTTTCTTCCTGAGTAGCTAGGAGCCACCTAGCAGTAGCTGGTTGGGCCTGAGCCCAACCTCAAAAGAGTTCCATCTAAACTCTAAGACTCAACTGTACCACATGTGCTACAATTGATCATGCTTTAAAGTATATTTTTCCTTTGGAAGGAAATTGGGGGTGAGAATGGGTTCAGGGGACTAGGATGGGGTGCTGGTCCCACCCTCACTCCCGGCTGTACCTTAAACACCATGTAAAGGTCCTCCAGCTCTTCAATTGAGAAACCAATGTCCCCGGGTATGGCTCGGACCTGGAAGGGAGAGACACAGCTGCACGGGCAGACCCCAGGCTCCTGCTACGGAAGAGACAGGCGCAGACTCCGCAGGACTCAAGTGGAAGGGGAAGGCATCAAGGAGCTTCTCGGTGTCATGGTGGCCCTGCCCCGGAGATGGGTTGGCCCCATTCAGAAGAGTGGGTGCAGCCTCACCACTGGCTGCATTAGCTCCCACGCCCTGAGCCCCTTCCTGGGAGGGTGGGAGTTGGAAGAGGCAGCTTTGGGAGACTCTCTCTTAAAGGCCCAGTCAGGGATGAGGGTGGGGATGGCTGATCATTTAGCTTCTGCTATCTGGATAGCTGTCAGGCCCAGTACTGGCTTTCTGGAAGAGTCCTAGAATCTGCCAGTCAGGGCTCTCTTCACTTCAATTAGCTCATCACTTCCCATTGCTGTGAATGCTGCGCCCTTGGAGGGGGTGGGAATACACAGGCAAACCAAGTTGTCCCATCTTTGTAGGGGCAGAGACCGTGAGCAGGTCCTGCAGCACGCGGCGGCGAGGGTGGCCTGGCCAGCAGAGGTTCTGGTAGAGGTGTGTGGTGGCAGAAAAACTGATGACACTCCCCAAGGTAGGGAATGTATGGCAAGGCTGGGCTGGGAATGGGGTGGGAAAGACACTTCCTACCAACCAGCTATGAGCAGAAGGAAGTGGCCAGCTTCTGCCCGATCTAGTCAAATCCCCACTCCTGATTCCGGTCCCTCCTGGCATCCTAGCCATGACACAGGTGCCAAGACAGCACAAGGGACAGGGAGCACATGGGGATCTGTGCCCGTCCAGAAAGGGGCTGGAGACACAGCAGCCCCGCTGAGCCAGCCCTGAGACCCCGCCTTGCTCCGCCTGTGCCCATACCACACTCCTCTTGGCTGTGTCCTCCAAGGACTGGATCACTTTCAGCCTCTGCTTAAACCGCATTTGCTCGATGTCGTCGGCCCTCAGGCTGCTGAACTTCTGTGGGCCAAAGAAGAATGGGTGAGGCCCAGGGCCCAGGTCAGAGACCCTCCACCGGGGCCCTCTTGTGGCCATCAGAGGAAGGGGCCTGGCCAAAACAACACGACTAGAGGCCAACCTCATAGGACACTTTGAGGAGGTCAAAGATGTCCACTTGGGCAGGAGGGTCGTCTCCGCTGGTCAACAGGGCATGGAGGTGTGGAATAGGAGGAGAAATGCTCTGCTTATTCACCACATTATCCAGGTACCTGTGAAGATTACAGACAGAAGTCGAGACCCCCACCCACTCACCCAGGAATCTCACCTGCAGCTCTGAGACTGTGCTGGGGCGGGGAGAGCTCCAGGAGGGCAGGGCCCCTGGCAAGCTGAGCTCCGTCCCTCTCCCATTAGAGGCCTGAGCCCAGGGAGGGGCCTCCCCAGGCCTCTGTTGAAGTAGCTGGGGTGAAGGCAAAGGCTGGATCTCAGGGGCAATCTATGAGAGCCGGGCTGTAGGGAGGAGGCAGAGATCGGGGTGAGCGCAAGCCTTCCTCACTAGCAGCTGGTTATGGGCTCACTTTGCTGCTCTGGCGAGTCTGGTGCAAGCACCCACTGGCGGGGGGTGTGGGGGGGAGTAGCAGTGCTCAGCCTGGCAGGGGACAAGCAGGGCAGCTTGGCGGAGTAAGAGAGGGCCAGCACTGCCCAGACTGACTGGATCTGATCGCACATCTAAGCAATGGCTCCTGCCCGGTGAGGCAGGTGCCCTTGCCCGCCAAAGGGTTCCCACCACAGGTGCCCTCTCCCGCCCGTGGTGTGTCTCTGGGCCCAGCTCCAGGCTGGTGCTGGGTGGGCATGGTCACTGGAGGGCGGGCGAGGGGTGGGCTCTGCCGCCAGCCCCTGCGGCGTGAGAAGGCCAGCAGTCACCTGCCCAGCACAGTCATGGCCTCGCCCTCGTCACTGCAGCCCAGCAGCTGCTCCATGTTGGCGTCCAGCACGGCCAAGGCCACCTGCAGGATCACCTTGATGCCCTCGTAGAAGAAGCAGTCGACGATGACCACGGCGCTCTCGAAGGGCATGACGCTGAGGAAGAGGGTCAGGAACCAGGAGAGCGAGATGCTGGAGATCACCCCCAGATCCTGCATCTTCTCGGACAGCCGGGGCAGGAGGTCTCTGGTGAGCTCTTCAAAGATGCCTTGGTCCACCAGGGCTCCTGTGGTGGAGACAGGAGGCCAAATGTAGCCCTCCCTGAGGCCTCAGCCAGGCCTCTCTATGTGGAGCCCTACAGTCTGGGGTCAGGGAGCCCCAACTTGCCAGTTCTACTTATAGAGGGCTGAAGGAAGGGGTGTGTAGGGGGGAGGGGAAAGATCAAGATGCACTGCACTCATAATCTGACTTGCTGCAGTGAAACCCTTTTGTGAATTTACTCAAAAAGTAAAATCACAGTGGGCTGGGAAGGTGGCCTAGTGGTAGAGTGCTTGCCTAGCATGCATGAAGCCCTGGGTTCCATTCTTCAGTACCACATACACAGAAGAGGCCAGAAGTGGCGCTGTGGCTCAAGTGGTAGAGTGCTAGCCTTGAGCAAAAGCAGCTCAGGCCCAGGCCCTGAGTGCAAGCCCCAGGACTGGCAAAGAAAAACAAAAACCCAACACCAGTGTGGGCTGAGGCAGACGCTGGCTGGGTGGGGCGGGGCCTGGGCTGGCTCACCACTGTCTGGCTGTGATCATTTCTCAGCTTTCTAATTGTAAGGCGGGAGGCTGCAGGATGGCTGGAAGTGCTTGGCACGGAGGCTGGCTAGAGAGAGGCGCTAGCCCACAGGGAGCCAGCAGCCTGGACACTCACCCACCACTCTGGTGTTGTAGTAGTCGGGCAGCATGCGCTCGCAGAGGGCCACCAGCAGCCAGAAGGCTTCCTCCTCACTGCCGTAGAGCAGGAGCACTGAGGTCACGATGTTCATCGCCTGCAGACACGGCGAGGAGAAAGGGTCACACTGCTGTCCACCCAGTCAAGCTGTTTCCTCCCCACACAGAGGCCGGCCCGCCCTTCCGGAGGGCCCAGCATCCCGCAGTGACAAACTACTCCTGCCCAATGTGGGAATTTACCAAGAGACAAATTACAGGTAATCCATTGGACAGAAACAGTGGGAGAGCTCTTCACCCTGGGTCAGAAGGCTGGGGAAGCGCTCCCCTTTAGCGTGAGTGAATAACACTTCCGTGGGGTGGAGCACAATGAAGCGGTGACAGAGCTGCTGGGAAAGGGATGTGTGGGGCTAGGTGCTGCACAAGGCTGCAGAGGAACGGCGAGCGGCCTCAGCTGCTCATAGCTTCCAAGTTGGCAAGCCACTTTTAAAATCTATTTCCAGTGGGCACAGTGTCCCCCCTCCCCCCCCATGACTTGGTAACACACGTGAGTGGGACCTGGTTTCCTAGAAAACCAGATACAAGTCAAGGCCAACAGAAAGCCATTTGACCTGGCCGGGAAGATGTCAACTACATTTAATGACCGAAGAAGCTGCCAGAATTGCAGATCAAAACTACCGCCAGATCCGCACCATCGTGAAATACCTGCATGTCTGTAAAAACTAACATAACGGGGTGGTGGTGGTGGTGGTGGTGGAAAGGATGGTGGGGGGAGTATGGGAAGGGATGGGAAGGGGAAACAAAGAGGACGCAACAATGCTTGATAAGAAATGAACTCAAGCCAAGCACTGGTGGCTCACGCCTGTCATCCTAGCTATTCAGGAGGCTGAGATCTGAGGATCGTGGTTCAAAGCCAGCCCAGGCAGAAAAGTCTGTGAGACTCTTTTTTTTTTTGTCGGTCGTGGGGCTTGAACTCTGGGCCTGGGAGCTGTCCCTCAGCTCTTCAGCTCAAGGCAAGCACTCTACCACTTGAGCTACAGCGCCACTTCCAGTTTTCTGGTGGTTTTATTGGAGATAGGAGTCTCACGGTCTCTCCTGCCCGGACTAGCTTTGAACCGCGATCCTCAGATCTCAGCCTCCTGAGTAGCTAGGATTACAGGCGTGAGCCACCAGCGCCCGGCTCACAACTCCACTTTTAAGAAGTACCTAGGCAGAGGTTGCCAGGGGCTGGTGGGCGGGAATGGAGAGTTACTGTTTAATGGGAGCATCTCGCTTAGGGAAGATGCTGGAAGTTCCGTGGCTGACAGTGTGTGATGGCTGTCCAACAGTGTGAATGCCACTGAACTTGGTAAAAATCAACTGCTGCTAAGACTCAGGCTGGATGCACACAGAAGCTAACTTAATACATAGCCCAGGGCTGACGGGAGGAATGAATGCAGTTTGTAAACGATGTCTTCTGCGGTCAGCTGTGCGAGGTCACCACACAGGCCCAGGCTGCAGGCCCTGCTCCTGGGAGTTCCTGGGTTTCTGCTGGGCCACTTTACCTGGCAATAGCCGATGGTGGGGTTTCGGAAAGCATAGGCGGTGAGAACCCGCCGGAGGGCGGCGATGCCCAGCTCGTTCTGGAAGGCAGGGTGCTCGGGCATGGAGCGATGGAGGTCGCGCTCGATCTCCTCCGTGGCCAGGCTGTACTTCCCAGTGGACTTCTCCACCAGCTCAGCGTAGTAGCCGGGATGGGTCACCATCTCGTTCCAGGCCCCTAGGGAGACACAGTGCCGTTCTCTCTCTTCTTCCTCCCACCACAGGGGAGGCAGGAACAGGGGAGACGGGAGACAGGAACGCCCCCCAGAGGAGAGGTGCACTTGGCTCTGTGATGGGGGTGAGGCAGAAGCTCCCTAGGAGCGGCCATTCCATCCGAGCTCAGTGGCAGACTTGCCCCCGTCACACGCGGAGAGACGCGCTACGGTGTTGACACTGAGAGCCTGTCTTGAGGAAAGAAGGCATCACGCGGAGCTTCTGTCCTCCCACTGCAGGCAGATGAGTGCCTCCTACCCACAGTGCCCTCCCTGATACCTGCTCGTTTGGACTGGGGTCCCCTACACAGCTGAGGTCCCCGTGCCCTGCTCTGGCGAGGGGCTGACACCCTGCCCTTTCTGGTGACTTCAGGAGGTAGCTCGGAGCTGATGCAAGAGCCCATGAGAACATTTCTTAGGTCTGGTCAAGGATCAGATCCAGGCCTTGGGCATGCCAACCACACAGTGCACTATGCAGCTGCACACCCTGCTCAGCAGACAGCCTTGGGGTGAAAGTCGAGGCTGGGATCATGGGCCATGCTCACCAGAGAAGAGGAGCCAAAGCTCTCCTCGGAGACTCTCAGGGATGCCCTTCAGGACCAGCTCCCGCGTTTTGGCCGTGCGGTACATGCACATGCCACGCCCGTACTCGAAGAAGTGGATGTTCCATGATTCCTCTTTCATCTTCTCCTTGGCCTGGGGGAAAAGGAAAGCATGGACATAGGGAGGCTGAAGACTGCCTGAGTGCTGAGGCCAACTGACAAAACTCTCTCCGGCTCTGTGCAAGGCGAGAGGCTCCTGTGCAAATCATCTGGAGCGCTGCCAGCAAGCTTGCATGTCAAAGCAATTACGAGACACGGGCAAGCCGGGCTCCAGTGGCTCACGCCGGTAATCCTAGCTACTCAGCAGGCTGCGATCTGAGGATCGAAGTTCAAAGCCAGCCCTGTGAGACTCTTAGCTCCAATAAACCACTCAAAAAAAATTGGAAGTGGTGCTGTGGCTCAAATGGTAGAGTGCTAGCCTTGAGCTGAAGAGCTGAGAAATAGTGCCCAGGCCCAGAGTTCAAGCCCCATGACTGACCAAACAACAACAACAACAACGTCAAACACTACCACCAACAAAAAGACACAGGCAAAGCCCAGGCTGCACCTGCCCACCCTACTACAGTCGGAAGATGAGCTTGGCACCAGCAGCAGGCTCTTCTCTTCAGAGGTCCACAGCCCCTCCTGAGGGGCTGCCCGGGTCAGGCAGAGTGGCTGTCCCCGCAAGAGTGCCAGGTCCACCTCATGCTGCCAGTGCGACCCAGGAGGGCACAAACCCAGAGGCGGCTCCAGCCTTCCTTCCAGGACTCAGCTCTGTGCTCTTGCAGCTGAAAGCCTCTGCCCCTGGCTTACCCCCTTGGCTCCAAGGTCCTCCATGGGTGAGTTCTTCTGGAAGACTTTCAGCAGGCCCTGGGAAGCAGTTGGCACTTCCTGAGCACTGACGCTTGGCTGGCTGCCGAGGGGAGAGGACGGGCTGGTGGGCAGTTCTGACACTTCCTGAGGAGCTGGGAGAGACTAGAAAATAAAACGGGAGGGAATGCACCCAACAACTTGTGCTGTGTAAGGGGATGCGCTGGTGACTCACACCTATAATCCCTGCTACGCAGGAGGCTGAGATCTGAGGAGTGAGGTCAGAAGCCAGCCTGGGCAGGAAAGTTCCATGAGACTCTTATCTCTAATTAACCATCAAAAAATAAAACAAAAGTGGAGGTATGGCTCAAGCGGTAGAGTGCCAGCCTTGAGTTAAAAAAGTAAGCAAGAATGTGAGGACCTAAATTCAAAGCGCACTACACACACACACACACACACACACACACACACACACACACACGCACGCGCGCGCGTACCAGAGGGTGTGAGAATGTGCAGAGGTTATATACAAATACTACTATGACACTTTATATGAGGGACTTGAGTGTCCTGGACTTGGGGATCAAAGGGGGTTCCTAGAAGTCATTCCCAAGGTTACCCAGGCACAGCGATACAATTACTTGGAGATATTAAGTGGTAAGTCTGTTCTATAATAATGGTAGGCCTCAACACTGTGGCCCTTGCTCAGTGTAGAAGTTGATCAAGGAACTTTATGGATGGTGTAGCCATGGTTTCTCATGGAGAATGGGCCTTGCAGTGGGCTGGAAAAGAGTGAGAAGGGCCTGGTGCTGGTGGCTCATGCCTGTAATCTTGGCCATTGAGGAGGCCGAGATCTAAGGATCGCAGTTTGAAGCCCATCTGGGCAGGAAAATCCATGAAACTCTTATCTCCCATTAACCACCAAAGAAAGTCAGAAGCGGAGCAAAAAAGCTCTGAAACAATGCCCAGGTCCTATGTTCAAGCCCCGGGACCAGCACCAAAATAACTAAATAAAAGAGAAGGATGTGGGAAGGGGTGGGTGGGACGGGAGTGGGGGAGGAGTGAGTAGGAGGTGGTGTGCGTGGGAGCATGGGGCTGGGCTCAGAGTTCACCCCGCCCTCGAGCTCTTTCCAGCTTCCACTTTGGATTCAGCACACCAACAGTGGCAGGGAGGAAAATGACTGCAGCAGCTCGGCCCACATCCCTCCCCAGTTGTTCCCCAGGGCCCTCCCTCCCCTCCCTCACCTCTGGGGGAGGATCCACAACACTGGATTTCCTCCCTCCGATGCTGCTGCCCGGCTGCTTGGATGGTGTTTTCTGGAGGAAGTCGGAGATCCTCTGAACTAAGAAGTCACGGTCTTTCAGGTTGGCAAACAGGAAGGTCATTTTGCTCTTGGTGCTGATGGACAGAGGGCTGGGCAGGACGCTGGAGCTGTCCGCTTTCTCAACAATGGTCACCTGAGAAGGTTAAAGCAGTCTCCTGTGCCTTTGCATCTTGGGATGTAAGTCTGGGGGTGCTTGTGACCGTGAGGGGACTAGGGCTGTCCTCTGACAGTGCAGAGTGGCCCCACTAGATCCACATCCTGGGGCTACCTCTTCTGTGCAGCCTAGGGTGAGGCGCTGGTGCATCTCAGTCTCTTTTCACCTGTTGCTAGGGATGAGCTTGGATGGTCCTTGCAGGGCCTTGCCGAGGCTAAGGCTGTACAATGTGCAGCAGGCCACCTGCTGGCTCATCCAAGGCCCACCAGCGACTCCTGTCCCGAGTCCCTCATGTAAGGAGCTCATTTCAGGGGCATTCCCTCATAGCTGGTCCCGAAGCTCGGTCAGTGAGTAGGAGAGGTTGAGGGACACAGCACAGGTTTGAAGTGGGCAGCTCTGCGGAGCCTGGCCTAGCGGAGTGGAGGCAATGGATACACACGCCACTAGACTGTGCCTGTGGAGAGGCAGTGATTGAGCCGCACCTGGTTCAGCTGAGGAAACTGCTGAGGAGCTGGGGGAGAGCTGGCGACAGAGGCACGAACCACTGGGAGTGAGAATGGCTGGAGAGAGGAAGTTTCTAGAAGCTGGGACAGATGGAGCGTCCTCCACAGGGCGGGATGTGTGTATGTGTGGGTAATGTGAGCAGGTACAGCACTTACTGTGGTGTGTACATGTGAATTCATGAATACACGTGTGCAACTCCATATGACACTGTGTGATGTGGTATGCACATGTGAATGTGTGTACATATGCATGTAGAAGTCTATGTGTATGGTGTGTGTAATGTGTGTATTTGCATGTGGATGGACGCAGGTTTGTGTGGTGTGTATGTGTGAAAGGAGGTCTATGTGTAGCCCGTGTGTATGTGTGTGTGCATGTGTGGGGAGGTGTGTGTACGGTGTAGGTATGGAGTGTGTACTCCGTGTGACTGTGTGTGCCCGGCAGGATGCATGTGTGAGTGTGAGCATGGCTCTCCACAGCCTCACAGGTTACAGGGAGGCACTTGGGGATTCTTTTGACCACAAGAAGACGCTGGAGGAACTACGCAGGGTGACACTATGCTCTATTTTATTTTTTTTGGTGGTAGGGCCTCACACTTGCTTATCTGGCACACTACCACTTGAGCCATGTCTCTAGGCCACCTTCTTGCTGGTTAATTGGAGAGGAGTCTTGTGGACATTTCTGCCTGGGTTGGCTGTGAACTGCAATCCTCCAGACCTCAGACTCCTGAGTATCTACAATTATAAGCATACGCCCCCTGCGTCCGGCTTCTGGCTGACATTCAGAATCTTGCTTACTATTGTGGAGATGGGTCGTAAAGGGGTCAGGTGGGATTTGGATTCCTGAGGTGGCCTGCTTTGTCTTAGGTGGTAGGCCCGGGGAGGGAGGCCGAGCTCTGGAGAGAGGGCTGACAGGATGTCTATGGTCAGGATGCGGAATCAAGGATGACTCCGCCTCCACCTGGGCAGATGGCAGGGCCCAAATTCCATGGGGAGCACAGAACATGTGACTGGAAGGGATAGCCAAGGCCCACTAGGCTCACTCAGCTGCTGAGTGAACGGATGCCTGGGCGGGACAGGAGGGGCAGGTGCCCCTAGATCAGCCTCCAAGTTGACCAACTGCAGAGCTGGACCACAGAGCACGGGCCTGCTCACTGAGCTGTCTGAGCCCCCGCGGCTGGAGTGGGATGCTTACCTCCCTCAGGGGTATGATGAGGTGGCACGCGTCCTCCTCCTTGCTGGCAAAGCAGATGTAGTTGTTGGAGATGAACATCTGCCCAGGGATGTGCAGCTTGTTGAATGGCGTCCACAGGGTGCAGCCCGTGTGGCCGTCCAACCGCTCATCTTGGGGTAGCCGGAATGTGGCTCTGTAGCACTCATTCTTGGCGCGGGCATCCAGGTCTCTGAGGAAACAGTGGGAACCAGGTGGACAGGAGTCAGGGGTCCACACACTTCTAGGAGCCCATGTTTTAGACTTCCAGCAAGCAAGCTGCATCTGGGGATTTTACAGTTCAAGAAAAGATGCAATTTTAAATGACTAAGAAAAATGAGGGCTATTCCTAAGGCCGGCAGTGAAGTGGATGCATGTAACGTGTCGATAACTTGACCGATTCAAAACGAGGACCAGCAGTGATCTGCCCTCAGGTACTGAATGGCAGCCAGTGTGCACAGCTCCCACGCTGCCAACCCCACCCTGACATCCAGCAGGCATGAGCGGGGCTAAATCTGAACCGTGTGGTAGCCACTGCTTAACCAAAATACTTATGCATGTCTCATGTCTGTGGGAGATGACCTGTGACCACTGCGTCCTTGATGGTTCAACCATATAAACAGCTTCCCTTCTCCCAAAGAAACTCCTGCCTCCTAGGGCTGCCAATGCCCTGACCAGGGCCTAAAATCCATGCCCCCATCTGGCAGTGCTGGGCACCACCACGGTCCAGACCTGATTTTTTTTTTTCTGGAAGGTTCTGAAGACCATTGTCACTGCATCAGGAGTGACAGCCTTCTGGACCAGAGGTGCACTGTGGGCCCAGAGGAAGGTCTGTGAGTGCAATCCAGGAAACAGCCTGGCTGGAAGGTCTCTGAACACAGTATGAATACAGCTGTGTCTTGTCTGCCCTGGTTGAGGGGCCCAGCGCACTTCTGAGGTCTTGGCTATACTTGTGGGTTTCCCATGAGGCTACCATCTTGGGGCTTAAACAGCAGTGACCAGGAGGGACTGGCCACCACCATGCAATTCCATCTACCGCTCCCACAAGCAGAGGGGCGATGACCTCAGCTTGCACACAGCCTGTCTCCTCCTTACTGCTGGCTTCAGACCTGAGGTCGTGGCCTGTGGCTGCCGGGGGCCCCCAGAGGTCCATCACAGTACGATGGAGATGTGCACCCCGTGTCCAGATTCACTGAAGCCTTCCAGATGCAGTACCTGGAGACCTCGGAGCACTCTGACGGAGAGCTCACACCCAGAAGGACCTCTACCACTTGTGCGGTAGGGACGGTCAGAGTATCTTCCACCCTAGGGCCGTGAGGGAGGCCTTCCTCCACATCAGCGATCACTAGTGCCTCCAATGCACTACTGCGATGCTCTGTTTTCTGGCCGCTGCCTCAGGTGGGGGCCTACGAAGGCTGGACATGAGACATTCTCCAGGCCTACATGTCCTGCCACGTGTCAGCCAGGGTCAGGGGATCTGGCTCCAGTCCCCTGCCAGGTGGACAACCTACCGCTTCAGAGCTGAGATGTTCCTGTGTGGCCGGATGGGCCTGGGCAGGGCCTTGTCCTCCAGGAAGCCCTCGCTGTCTAGCAGCTGCCGCATGGCCAGGTTGGCCAGTTGTTCCATGAGCTTGAAGGTCTCGCCGATGTTGAGGAACATGGAGAAGAAGAGCTCCCGGTCGCGGGTGTCCACACGGATGCTCTCAGGGAAGAGCAGAGTGGCATTCTTCTCTAGCCGAATGACGTCCACCCACTGAACCACGAGGCTCACTGGAGGCCGGTGGGGAAAGATGCACCACCCATCAGTCTGGCAGCACGAGGGTCCTGACTTCCACCACACCCAGGACCTACCTGGAGTGCCCGCCTCTAGGACGCCATTTATGGACCCGCCTGGTGACTGAGTGACTATGCTGGGTCGTGCTTCATAAGGAGGGGCTAGGCGATTGGTGTCTCAGCCGCCGCCCTGACCAACTCTACTGGATCTGTGTGCCCCCAAAATGGCTGGGGGTGTAGGGAACAAATGCTCAGGGTTTGAACCAGGTGGGGCCCTGGCCCCAAAGTGCCCCACTGAGTGGGAGCTCTCTGATAGGTGAACCGAGTGACAACATCTGAGCAGGAGGGTGAGGGGAGTCTGCACAGGAGCGCGGAGGGAGCCCGGCTTGGGGAAGGGGGATGATGTCTGACTACCGGAAGCGCTAGAGGCCGCAGTGCTTTCCGAGGGAGGAACTGCAGTGGGGGGAGCAGGTGCTAGGGCAGCCTGCAGGAGCAGGAGGTCAGGAGTGGCCCATGCTCGGAGCACTGCATCACTAGAAGCACTTGACAAAGATGTGTGCTCTGGGAAACTCCAACTCTGACATAAACCAGGAGGCCAGGAAGGAAGGCTACTATGTTTGAATCTCACTAGTGGGCATGAGAAGAGTCCCTCAAGAGCAGACAGATGCCTGGGTGTTCCTGGGCTGTGCAGGTTGCACATGGGCTTTGGGGAGACCCCTCTGGGAGCTAGTGCGGACGTGGTATCTGGGGACCCACCAGGAAGGCTGGCAGTGTGGAGAGGCAATGCTGCTCTAGTGGCAGGGTCAAGGGAAGGAGCAAGGGAGGAGCTGGGGGTGGAGGGGGCTCACCTTCTTTTCCCAGCAGGAAGGAGTAGAAGCACAGGTGGTTGACGGTCAGGTAGAGCCAGCCCTGCCTGGGCACGCGGCCCTTCCAGTAGCTGCAGGAGTAGTAGTTGACCAGCTTCTCGCCCTCCGGCATCCCGAACTGCTTCCTCATCTTCAGCTCTGCCTCTTTGAACTTTCCAGGGTCCTCATCTCCCTGGGGTTGCAGGTTCTTGTTCTCTTCTGCAATGATGCCCTGGGGGGCGGGGGTGGAGGGAACCATGAGATCTAGGCTCAACAGGGCTTGTTCCTGGGTGGGTCAAAGGGAGGAGCAGAGGCCTGGGGAACTCCGGGCAGTGGTTCTGGGAAAGGAAATGCCCCGCTCTGGCTCTGCTGGTTTTCGGACAAGACACATGAGTGACAGAGCTGCCTGTGACTGAGCACGGTCCTGAAATGCCTGCGGGTACTGGTACCACTGGCTCTGGGCAGCTACTTTTTCAAATAGACGTCTTAATTTCAGGTAAAATCGTTCTAACATATAATCCATAAGAATGGTAAAAAAAAATGCAAATACACACTAAGCACCCTAATTTGAACATGCACAAATTCCAGTTTCTCCTGAATCTGACACTTTTCCAGCGCTATGGACTGCAGTCAAAATGTAAAGTGACCTCAGTATATATAAAACATGAATGAATTCTGTGCATAGGATTTTGTCTCATTCTCAAGCCTGGCGCTGGTGGCTCACGCCTGTAATCCTAGCTACGCAGGAGGCTGAGATCTGAGGATCGCGGTTCAAAGCCAGCCTGGGCAGATAAGTGAAATTCTTATCTCCAATAAACCACCAGAAAACCGAAGTGGCACTGTAGCTCAAGTGGCAGAGTGCTTGCCTTGAGCTGAAGAGCTGAGGGACAGCGCCCAGGCCCAGAGTTCAAGACCCAGGACTGACAAAAAAAAAAAAAGGTAAGTCAAGAATGTGCAAATAATTCAAAAGCCTATGGTAATCCCCACTCCTAAACACTGGTCTCAAGCTTTCTGGGATGAAGAATATTCACGTGTAGCAGGACTATGTATTTGGTGGAAAGGGGCTCTCCCTCCTGCCTTCTGTGTTTTCTTTCCTAATTTCCCTCCAGATGCACGCACACTTGTGCATGTCTATGGGAAAACTGTTATTTCCTCCTTTCTCTGCCCAAATGGAGTTCTCCGTGGCCCTGTTCTGTTCTCTTTTTCTCACTGTATCTTGGAAGATGCTCTGCCCTGACCCCGCCCCCCTGCCCTCCGCTGGGAGTCCCGCCTCCTGTGCCACCCTGGACCCCACTCCTTCTGTGGCTGGTATTTCCATGGGGCACTCACAGGCTTCACCGTGCACAGAGCCACGCCCAACCCCACGACGGCATCCATGCTTTTATGAGAGAGACGAGCGCTCACGTGAGATCTCACCTCGTGAGATCCTCATCGTTTCACGGAGTAGCAGGGACGCCCTCACTTCAGACCTCCAGAACTATGGGCTGAATAAATCTCTTATTCTTTATCCACCCTTAGACTGGACCTCCACAATGGTGAGCCAAGATAGACACCTCATTAGACAATGGAAAGCTGGCCCACAGCGCCCTGCCTGCAGAAAGCCACGGCGGCCCCAGGCAGCGGGCACTGAGCCAGCCCTTGCTAAAAACCAGGCCCAAGGCAGGTGGCTGTCACGAGCAGTACTGCCCGCAGGCCACTTTTCTGGGTGTCCAGGGGTAGCGGCAGTGCCCTCGCCTCCTCCTCCCCCACTCCCTCCACCGCACCTGGGAGACTGGTGAGTGGGGAGCAGAGGAGCAGACTACAGCCCACGCTGCACATCCCCCCCACAATCCTCCCAAGACTCCCCGGCCTCAGCCTTCAGACCACGCAGCTGCTTCTTGGGAGCACTGGTCTCAGGGATGGGCTTAGTCAGCCCATAGGGTTGAAGACAGAAGGCAGCTATAAAGATAGTAAAGCGATTTGAAATGGCTGATTTTAAATACGCAGAGTGCATATTCACGGTTTTGGTTTCTTTCCCAGCCTCAATTTGAAGATGTTATGTTGTGTGGAAGGCCAAGGATACTGCCTCCCCAATGCTCAAAACCTAGCAACAGGCAACCTTACACAGCAAAGGGGGCTTTGCGGATGTGGTTACAAGATTGGACTGTGAGGTTAGAGGACTCCGGATCATCTGGTGACCCTCATGAGACCACAAGTGTCCTTATAAACAGGGAGGGAAGAGGACAGAGTCACAAGAGATGACAGGAGGGGAGCAGGAGAGAATGGCAGACTTGAAGAGGGTTTGCTGTTGGCACTGAAGAGGAAGGAGAGCTAAGAACCAAGTATGAAAAGTGGCCTTTAAGAAGCTAGGAAAAGCCATGTGCCCGTGGCCAACATCTGTAATCCTAGCTACTCAGAAGGCTGAGATCTAAGGATCTTGGTTTGAAGCCAGTCAGGGCAGAAAAATCCCTGTGAAACTCATCTCCAATTAGCCACTCAAAAACTGGAAGTGGAGCTGTGGCTCAAAGTGGCAGAGCGCTAGCTTTGAGCAGAACTCAAGGAGAGCACCCCAGGCCCTGAGTTCCAGCCCCATGACCAACAACAACAAAAAAGAAGCTGGGAAAGGAAACAGGTTCTCCTTAGAGCTTCTAGAAGTAATACAACCCAACCAACACCCTGATTTCAGTCCAATTAGACTTCTGACCTCAGACACTGTAAGAGTAATTTCTAGGAGGTAATAGGGATCAAACCCAGGGCCGTGAACATGCTAGGCAAACACTCTCATCAAGCTAAACCTCCAGCCTCATTTGTATTGTTTGAAGCCACCAATGTGTATGGCAATAGTAACTGGAACTAGTATATCACACATCGGTCTAAAAAAGTTGCCACCGGAACTACACAGCTTAGAAGCTGCTGTGGCATTCTCTCTCACATTAAAAACAACAAAAAAAACCACAACACTTTATCCTATTTAGTAGACTGAGATATGAGGATTGTAGTTTGAAGCCAGCCTAGGCAGAAAAGTCTGAGAGATTCTATCTCCAGTTAACCAGCAAAATGCTAGACAGGGGCATGGCTCAAGTGGAAAAGCACCAGCTGTGGTAAATAAAGCTGATTAAAAGCATGAAGCTCTGAGTTCAGATCCCAGAACCTTCTTCAATAAAGAAAGAAAAAAAAACAGAGAAGAAAGAAAAAGAAGGAAGGAAGGAAGGAAGGAAGGAAGAGAGAAATAGGAAAGAAGGGAGGGAAGGGAGGGAAGGGAGGAAGGCAGGCAGGAGGAAGGAAGGCAGGCAGGAGGAAGGAGTCCTGCGTTTACGTAAGTGCTCTTCACGTCTCATTGGCAGGTGGTTCCCTGCAGGTCTCTCTGTCTTTTGTCTGGGGTCACTTTGGCCACAGGTTTGCTTCTCTTTTTTAGTCTGTCACTCTTCTCCATTGTTCCTTTGTTTTCTAAGGAATTAACCTTGGCCTTTTGGCGTTTCCTTCTGTCTAATTTCCTGGTTTCTCTAGAATTCTTTTTCTAACTTCCTGAGTTGGGCACTTTGCTGGTCATTTCATTCTTTTTCATGCAATCTTTGCAGGGCGCTGGGTGCGGGTGGGCAGGTGGCTCACGCCTGTCATCTGAGCTACTTAGGAGGCTGAGATCTGAGGATCTCATTTCAAAGCCAGCCTGGGCAGGAACATCCCTGAGACTCTTCAACTTACCACCAGAAAACCAGAAGTGGCGCTGTAGCTCAAGTGGTAGAGCACTCGCCTTGAACTGAAGAGCTCAGGGACAGCGCCCAGTCCCAGAGTTCAAGACTCACTAACAACAACAATAAAAACAACAACTAGAACTCCAGTGTTCACTCGGGTCTTGATTTCCTAATTCCCACTGGCTATAGTTTGGACCTCAAGTGTCCCCAAAGGACCATGTGTTAAGTCATGCCAGCACAGCGTGTGTCCTCAGCACGGCACTGTGGGATGAGCCGGAGGGTGCTGTCTTCCAGCCACCAGGGACAAGCCTCCAAGGGAGGAACCTGGGAGTCCAGCCCCTTCCTCTCTGACCTGGCCACGAGGTGAGCACGTGTTCTGATGTGTGCTCTCCCCCAGGGGCTGACACAGGCCCACAGCAACACGGACGGCAGTTCTCGGGCTAGCAAAATAAACCCTATCTCTTCCTAAGCTGATTATCTCTGGGATTTGTTACAACAGTGAAAGGCGGACGGATACACCATTTCCTCTCTAGCTCAGAAGTCATTAAAACTTTAGTTCTGCTGATGTCTGTTTGAGGCCTGTCACAGAGGAGGCATTTAATAATGCCATCGTCATCATCATCATCATCATCATCATCATCATCATCATCATCATCATCATCACCGTTTGCTAGCTAGAAGAGTAAGTCTTCCCTCTCATTTTGCCTATTTTTCCCAAAACCAGAAGACAACACAGATCCCATTTTGAACCCCAATATTCTCAGACGAGCTGAGAATATTGGTCCTGTCTGCCCAGGTCTAAAAAGTTATACAAAGCCCTGCCCAAACCCAGCAACACTCTTCACAGGAATCTAACTTAATAACCTAACAGAAAGAACACACACACATATGTTCGCATTAATGCTCATGAGAACATTTGTCATCTCCCAGAGAGGAAACGAGGTTAGAGATAGTCACGATGTCCATCATCATTATTTTGATGGCTGTAAAGCACTCTGGAAAGTTTACCACCTCTGACTAAGTCCCCTGGAAGTAAGCACTTAGCAGAGTAAGCGTACGGGCGGTGTGGGCGTAGCTGCGCTGCTGTAGTAACCAGGGCAGCGTCATCTCTCCGCTCAGGACCAGCAGGCACTGCTTGTACTGCCTCTGCACTAAGTGCTACAGGCAATGAACACAGGCCATTCTGCACACAGAAATGCACCATAGGAAAACCACGAGGGTGGAATCACTGGGTAAAAGGTATGTGCCTTTTAAGTAGAATGGGTCTTATTATAAAAACAAACCTCAGAATACCTCATTATTTCCACCGTCTTCCTCCGTTAGCCAAGCACTACAAACACAGTTACACAGCTGCATATTGTTTGAAGGCACTTGGCAAGGAATGAACTCTAACCTAAGCTTCAATTGGACTCGATTGAGTGGCTGGCTACACCAAGAAGGGGCTCTACAAACATAATGCTACATAATAAAAGCGATAGTCAACACTACAAAACATAGGAAAAACACTGGACGATATAGGATTCCAGGATTCCAATAGCATAGCCCATAAGGACTGACAGGACTGCAGTGTACTAAAAGCTTCTGTATAGCAAAGGAATCAGAATGGAGACAGCCTACAGAGAAAGCCTCACCTGCTATACATCTGACAATGGACTAATAACCAGAATATACCAAGAGATAAAAAAGCTAAACTTGGGGCTGGGAAGGTGGCTCAGTGGTAGAGCGCTTGCCTTGCATGCATGAGGCCCTGGGTTCGATTCCCCAGCACCACATAAGCAAAAAGAAAAAAGCCAGAAGTGGCACTGTGGCTCAAGTGGTAGAGCGCTAGCCTTGAGCTGAAGGGCTGAGGGACAGCGCCCAGGCCCAGAGTTCAGGCCCCATGACCGGACCCAAAAAAAAAAAAAGCTAAACTTGCTGCACGCCAGTGGCTCCTGCCTGTAATCCTAGCTACTCAAAAGGCTGAGATCTAAGGATCACGGTTCAAAGCCAGGGCAGGAAAACCCGTGAGACTCTTATCTCCAATAAACCACTAGGAAACCGGAAGTGGCACTGTGGCTCTAGTGGTAGAGCGATCGCCTTGAGCTGAAGAGCGCAGGGACAGCACCCAAACTGAGAGTTCAAATCCCACGACCAACCAAAAAAAAAAAAAAAAAGCTAAACTTTTTTTGTTTTCGTGTCAGTCCTACGGCTTGAACTTGGGGCCCACTTGAGCATAGTGCCACTTCTGGCTTTTTCTGAGTAGTTTATTGTAGATAATCACATGGACTTTCGTGCCTGGACTGGCTCTGAACTGTGATCTGAGGATCACAGCCTCCTCAGTAGCTAGGATTATAGGCACGAACCACCAGCTCCCTGCTATAAAACTAAACTTTTTTGTTGTTGTTGCTGGCTGTGGGACTTGAACTCAGGGCCTAGGCACTGTCCCTGAGCTCTTTTGCTCAAGGCTAGCATTCTACCACTTTAAACCATAGCTCCACTTCTGGTTTCGAATGGTTAATTTGAGATATAGAGTCTCACAGGGACTTTTCTATCCTGACTGGCTTCGAACTCAGATCTCAGCCTCCTGAGTAGCTAGGATTACAAGGCCTGAGCCACCAGCACCCAGCTTAAAAAGCTAAACTCCTAAAGAACCAATATCCCAATTGATAAATGGGCAAATAAACACACAATTCCCAAAAGTAAAAATGGCCAATAAATAATGAAGAAATGTTTAACATTCCTGGCCACAAAGGATTTGCAAATGGAAATCACACTGAGATTTCATCCCGCTTCAATCAGAATGGCTATCACCGAGAACATAAATAACAGCAAATGGTGTGTGTGTGTGTGTGTGTGTGTGTGTGTGTGTGTGTGTGTGTGTGTGTGTGTGTGTGTGTGTGTGTGTGTGTGTGTGTGTGTGTATGTGTGTGTTGGTGAGGATATAAATTAATGCAGTCACTATGGAAAGCAATATGAAGATACTTCAAAAACTGTATCTATGGAATAGCACTACAATGATCCAACTCTTGGGCATATAGTTAAAGGGACACAGTCAGGATACAATAGTCTAAGGTATGCTGGGTGCCAGTGGCTCATGCCTATAATCCTAGCCACTTACGAGGCTGAGATCTGAGGATCGTTATTTGAATCCAGCCTGGGCAGAAAAGTACCCATGGGACTCTTATCTCCAATGAACCACTCAAAAAGCTCAGGGACAGCGCCCAGGCTCTGAGTTCAAGTCCCATGACTGACAAAAACAAAGAACAACAGTCTATGGCGGCACTATTGACAATAGCTAAGCTATGGAGTCAGCCCACGTGACCCTCAACCGATGAACGGATAAAGAAAATGTGGTATATTCGCCTTCAACCCATGGCCTTGGTGAAACATTCAAAATTCAACCTCCAGCAGTGGGCAGTAGGCTCAACCGCCCCTCCATCTTAGCAGAATGCGAGCAGACACTTTAGTTTCTATCTCTGTGAAATGGGAATAAGATCTTCACTGTGCTGTGGGGGGAGGAAATAAGGAAAGACGGGCAGGACTTGGAATTTGCCTGCAAATTCCATTGGTTCCAGGAGCAGCCCTCCTCCTCCCCCCAATACCACAATCTCCCATGCTGGAGTCCTTACTACACCACGTTCTGCAGATAACCTAAGCCTGTCTTCCTGCAAACCTCAGTCATCTCTAGGATACTTCTGGTATCCATGTGTGGCAATCATTATTATATGCATTGTTTGGAGAATGGCGACAAGAGGAAAGTCTATATACGGTTCAGGAGAGATACCCATTTCCCCCCGAAATGTTTTCCCTCACGGTTGCTTGCACCCACAGATGCGGAGGCCACGGCGTGCACGCTGCGGTCAGTGGGGAGGGAGGGTTGGTAACGGGCGCAGCCTTACATGGATCTTGCCCTTAACGAACGTGGTAATATCCTCTTCGCTGTCAAAGATGGACAGTGTCTGAAGCAAGTTGGTTTCCAGCCATTCCCAGTGTTTTGTGATCTCTTTGCGGGAAGAACCTAGAAGTTTGGTAAAGAAAAATCATTAAATCACCGGGTCTTAAACTCAAGTTAGGGAGATTAAAATGGGCGACTTTTCTCGGATACCTTCCTGTGACCACCTTCTCCCAGCTGCTCATTCATCTTCTGCTGAAATGTCACATGTATATAACCAAAGTGACAAATGGGCCGGGTGCCAGTGGCTCACGCCTGTAATCCTAGCTACTCAGGAGGCTGAGATCTGAGGATCGCGGTTCAAAGCCAGCCCGGGCAAGAAAGACCGTGAGACTCCTATCTCCAATAAACCACCAGAAAACCGGAAGTGGCGCTGTAGCTCAAGTGGTAGTGCGCTCGCCTTGAGCTGAAGAGCTGAGGGACAGCGCCCAGGCCCAGAGTTCAAGCCCCACGACCGACCAAAAAAAAAAAAAAAAAAGAAATGCAGACAGTTATGCGGGAAAAGTGAGCACCAGCGCCATTATGCAAACTATACTGCGGCTGGTAGGCAACGCAGTAAAAGGAATGTGCCAGCTAATTGAGTATGAAGGCACTCCTGTTTCCACACTTCCTTTGGATTTTATTTCATTCCTAGATCATAGAGATAGACATTACTATATTCATTTTAAAGGAGGAAGCCGAGGCACAGAGAGATTAAGTAAGTTAGCTGAGACCCCACAGCTTGGAAGTCACCAATCAGAATCCTAGTCCTGGCTGCCTGGCTGCCGACTCCCCTTAGCCTCAGAGCTCCCCTCTGCTGGGAGGGACTTCCGTGTGAGTGTGCAGAGAGGATAAGAGGGAGGGTGGCGGTGTGGCTCTGAGGGATCAGCACAGCTTTTCCTGTGAGGAACGTCTGGGTGGGCTGTCACAGCAGGGACATCACAGCAGGACCAGGAGGGGTAGGAGGGGTAAGGTGGGGAGCTTCAGGCTCTGTGCTATTTCACCTGTCTGAAGACAAGGGTGTGCCTAGAGGAGAGGAGGCCAGAAACAAGGAAGGTCGGGTGGATTCTGGGAGTTCCTCAAACCCTGGTGAAGGGGTCAAGATTCACCTGGCAGGTGCCAACAGGGCATCTGGCTGTGGTGAGCTGGTCCTCTTACCCGGCCCTGGGGAAGGAGGGAATGGGAGGGGGGATCTGCAGCATGGCTGGGCCTCTCCTTAGCCTCAGCGCCCCCCCCCCCCATCCCAGGATTCCCCATCCACACTGCTGCTCCTCTCCCTCTCCCCGGGCTGCTCTAAGTCCTCTTCCCTCTCCATCCGCTCCCGAGAAGGATCTCTGCTGAGACGCGATGGCAATTTCCAGGGCTCACGTGCAGTCCTTTCCATGTTTCCCATGTAGTTGGGATGACAGGTGTGCACTACCATGCCCACTTCTGGTTGAGATGAGGGCCTCAAGGATTTTCTGCTTGGGCTGCCTTGAACCGTGATCTTCCCAATCTCCACCTCCCGAGTGGCTGGGCTCACAAGCGTGAACCACCGTGCTGGCTTCCAGGGCTCCTTTTAAAGTCACCTGTTTCCTTGTGGCCTAGAAACAGGCCGAGGCTCCTGGACTCTGCTTTGGAGACCCTACAGGAAGCCCTTGTCTTCCGCAATGAGTGCGCTCAGCCTCCCAGAGCCTCCCTGGCTCGGGATCCAGGAAATCGGGGTTCCTGCCAGGGGGTTTCCACTGGCCTTGGGCAACCTCCATTTCTAACCATGGTGTGTGATCGTAAAGAGGGCGGCAGACCAGCGATTTCAGGGCGCAGAGAGGAGGATGTCAGCACGGGGGTAGAGCACCCGCGGGTGAACAGTGGCGGTTTCTGGGTGGCCACTTGTCCTGTGCTGTTCTTCTCCTGCCTCCTGAAGCGGAGGCACGGAGGACGGGGCGCTGAGGCCTCCAGCCCACAGCCGAGGCGGGGAGGATCTGCAGGGGGCTCTGGGGAGTGCCCGGCACACAGGGCTGCTATGACTACCGTTTTCTCAGAACCACCTCGGGCTGGCCAGCGCCAACCGACAGGAAGCTTCCTCCCATACTGGGGGGATGGGTTCACTTCCTCCTGGGACCACAGTGGATTGTCATTCTCCTCGTGGGGATGTTCCACACAGCCCCTGAATGAGAGAGCACCCCCGGCCCTGACTCCAGGGGAGAAACACGGCCAGGTTCCTGTGATCAGAATTCGCCATCAGCCCAGTGGTGCAGAACTTCTAGGTGTGCTTCTGTGTTAAGACACTTCATTTAGTATCGGTGGTGATTCGCCAGCGCGAACCGGGTCTGGAGCACGGGCTGCTCATCACAGGCCTGCTCTCGGGAGCGCGCTCTCAGCAGGCTCATCATCACAGGCCTGCTCTCGGGAGCGCGCTCTCAGCAGGGCTGCTCATCACAGGCCTGCTCTCGGGAGCGCGCTCTCAGCAGGGCTGGTCATCACAGGCCTGCTCTCGGGAGCGCGCTCTCAGCAGGGCTGCTCATCACAGGCCTGCTCTCGGGAGCGTGCTCTCAGCAGGCTCATCATCACAGGCCTGCTCTCGGGAGCGCGCTCTCAGCAGGGCTGGCTCATCATCACAGGCCTGCTCTCGGGAGCGCACTCTCAGCAGGGCTGGCTCATCATCACAGGCCTGCTCTCGGGAGCGCGCTCTCAGCTAGCTCATGTCACAGGCCTGCTCTCGGGAGCGCGCTCTCAGCAGGGCTGGCTCATGTCACAGGCCTGCTCTCAGGAGCGCGCTCTCAGCAGGGCTGGTCATCACAGGCCTGCTCTCAGGAGCGCGTTCTCAGCAGGCTCATCATCACAGGCCTGCTCTCGGGAGCGCGCTCTCAGCAGGCTCATCATCACAGGCCTGCTCTCGGGAGCGCGCTCTCAGCAGGGCTGCTCATCACAGGCCTGCTCTCGGGAGCGCGCTCTCAGCAGGGCTGGTCATCACAGGCCTGCTCTCGGGAGCGCGCTCTCAGCAGGGCTGCTCATCACAGGCCTGCTCTCGGGAGCGCGCTCTCAGCAGGCTCATCATCACAGGCCTGCTCTCGGGAGCGCGCTCTCAGCAGGGCTGGCTCATCATCACAGGCCTGCTCTCGGGAGCGCACTCTCAGCAGGGCTGGCTCATCATCACAGGCCTGCTCTCGGGAGCGCGTTCTCAGCAGGGCTGGCTCGTGTCACAGGCCTGCTCTCGGGAGCACGCTCTCAGCAGGCTCATCATCACAGGCCTGCTCTCGGGAGCGCGCTCTCAGCAGGGCTGGTCATCACAGGCCTGCTCTCGGGAGCGCGCTCTCAGCAGGGCTGGCTCATCATCACAGGCCTGCTCTCGGGAGCGCGCTCTCAGCTAGCTCATGTCACAGGCCTGCTCTCGGGAGCGCGCTCTCAGCAGGGCTGGCTCATGTCACAGGCCTGCTCTCAGGAGCACGCTCTCAGCAGGGCTGGTCATCACAGGCCTGCTCTCGGGAGCGCGCTCTCAGCAGGCTCATCATCACAGGCCTGCTCTCGGGAGCGCGTTCTCAGCAGGCTCATCATCACAGGCCTGCTCTCGGGAGCGCGCTCTCAGCAGGGCTGGTCATCACAGGCCTGCTCTCGGGAGCGCGCTCTCAGCAGGCTCATCATCACAGGCCTGCTCTCGGGAGCGCGCTCTCAGCAGGCTCATCATCACAGGCCTGCTCTCGGGAGCGCGCTCTCAGCAGGGCTGGCTCATCATCACAGGCCTGCTCTCGGGAGCGCACTCTCAGCAGGCTCATCATCACAGGCCTGCTCTCGGGAGCGCGCTCTCAGCAGGGCTGGCTCATCATCACAGGCCTGCTCTCGGGAGCGCGCTCTCAGCAGGGCTGGTCATCACAGGCCTGCTCTCGGGAGCGCGCTCTCAGCAGGGCTCATCATCACAGGCCTGCTCTCGGGAGCGCGCTCTCAGCAGGCTCATGTCACAGGCCTGCTCTCGGGAGCGCGTTCTCAGCAGGGCTGGCTCGTGTCACAGGCCTGCTCTCGGGAGCGCGCTCTCAGCAGGGCTGGTCATCACAGGCCTGCTCTTGGGAGCGCGCTCTCAGCAGGCTCATCATCACAGGCCTGCTCTCGGGAGCGCGCTCTCAGCAGGGCTCATCATCACAGGCCTGCTCTCGGGAGCGCGCTCTCAGCAGGGCTCATCATCACAGGCCTGCTCTCGGGAGCGCGCTCTCAGCAGGGCTGGTCATCACAGGCCTGCTCTCGGGAGCGCGCTCTCAGCAGGCTCATCATCATAGGCCTGCTCTCGGGAGCACGCTCTCAGCAGGGCTCATCATCACAGGCCTGCTCTCGGGAGCGCGCTCTCAGCAGGGCTGGTCATCACAGGCCTGCTCTCGGGAGCGCGCTCTCAGCAGGCTCATCATCACAGGCCTGCTCTCGGGAGCGCGCTCTCAGCAGGGCTGGTCATCACAGGCCTGCTCTCGGGAGCGCGCTCTCAGCAGGCTCATCATCACAGGCCTGCTCTCGGGAGCGCGCTCTCAGCAGGGCTGGTCATCACAGGCCTGCTCTCGGGAGCGCGCTCTCAGCTAGCTCATGTCACAGGCCTGCTCTCGGGAGCGCGCTCTCAGCAGGGCTGGCTCATGTCACAGGCCTGCTCTCAGGAGCGCGCTCTCAGCAGGCTCATCATCACAGGCCTGCTCTTGGGAGCGCGCTCTCAGCAGGCTCATCATCACAGGCCTGCTCTCGGGAGCGCGCTCTCAGCAGGGCTGGTCATCACAGGCCTGCTCTCGGGAGCGCGCTCTCAGCAGGGCTGGCTCGTGTCACAGGCCTGCTCTCGGGAGCGCGCTCTCAGCAGGGCTGGCTCGTGTCACAGGCCTGCTCTCGGGAGCGCGCTCTCAGCAGGCTCATCATCACAGGCCTGCTCTCGGGAGCGCGCTCTCAGCAGGGCTGGTCATCACAGGCCTGCTCTCGGGAGCGCGCTCTCAGCAGGGCTCATCATCACAGGCCTGCTCTCGGGAGCGCGCTCTCAGCAGGCTCATCATCACAGGCCTGCTCTCGGGAGCGCGCTCTCAGCAGGGCTGGTCATCACAGGCCTGCTCTCGGGAGCGCGCTCTCAGCAGGCTCATCATCACAGGCCTGCTCTCGGGAGCGCGCTCTCAGCAGGGCTGGTCATCACAGGCCTGCTCTCGGGAGCGCGCTCTCAGCTAGCTCATGTCACAGGCCTGCTCTCGGGAGCGCGCTCTCAGCAGGGCTGGCTCATGTCACAGGCCTGCTCTCAGGAGCGCGCTCTCAGCAGGCTCATCATCACAGGCCTGCTCTTGGGAGCGCGCTCTCAGCAGGCTCATCATCACAGGCCTGCTCTCGGGAGCGCGCTCTCAGCAGGGCTGGTCATCACAGGCCTGCTCTCGGGAGCGCGCTCTCAGCAGGGCTGGCTCGTGTCACAGGCCTGCTCTCGGGAGCGCGCTCTCAGCAGGGCTGGCTCGTGTCACAGGCCTGCTCTCGGGAGCGCGCTCTCAGCAGGCTCATCATCACAGGCCTGCTCTCGGGAGCGCGCTCTCAGCAGGGCTGGTCATCACAGGCCTGCTCTCGGGAGCGCGCTCTCAGCAGGGCTCATCATCACAGGCCTGCTCTCGGGAGCGCGCTCTCAGCAGGGCTGGCTCGTGTCACAGGCCTGCTCTCGGGAGCGCGCTCTCAGCAGGGCTGGCTCGTGTCACAGGCCTGCTCTCGGGAGCGCGCTCTCAGCAGGGCTGGTCATCACAGGCCTGCTCTCGGGAGCGCGCTCTCAGCAGGGCTGGCTCGTGTCACAGGCCTGCACTCAGGACGAGCGATGCATTTTGCCTGGGCCCATTTTAAGCCGTGTTGTGTCAAGCAAAAGCACAACACTAACAATGTCACTAAACAGACGGAGCCACGGCCACTTGCTTACTGTGTAACAAGAAGGGGACACATCACTGCGACCCACTTCAGCTGGGGACACCCTCCAGGCGACTCAAGTTTTCACCATTTTGCAAGGTTGAGACCATGAAAGTGCCAGGGTTTGGTTTTTGTTTTTTTGTCAGTCATGGGGCATGAACTCTGGGCCTGGGCGCTGTCCCTCAGCTCCTCAGCTCAAGGCGAGTGCTCTACCACTTGAGCCACAGCGCCACTTTGGTTTTCTGCTGGTTTGTTGGTCATAAGAGTCTCACTGGGACTTACCTGCCCAGCCTGGCTTTGAATCATGATCCTCAGATCTCAGCCTCCTGAGTAGCTAGGATGACAGGCGTGAGCCACCAGCACTGAGCTGTGCCAGGTTACAATGAGGCCCGACTCGGAGAAAACGGCCGCCTGTGAGCCCCCAGCTGAGCCCTCAGAGGCAGGAGGGGCTCCATGCGGCCATGCCCTGCCTGGCCTGTGTCTCTAGCTGGCGTGGCTGTGCTGTCTGACGGGGTGGGGGCAGGGGGTCTCCATAAGCACCAGCCCATGGGCATGCAGCTGCATGGCCCTCCCCTCCCAGCGCGACCTTATGAGCCCGGTACCTACCGCACGCCACCGTCCAGTAGACCTGCGAGTCCTGGGTCTGGTGCAGGATGCGGTAAGGGGCCACACGGGCACTGGAGTCCAGCACCACGTCCAGGGTGCCCACGAGGAGACCTAGGGGCAAAGCAGACAGATGTGGAGGGTGAGAGGCGCCAGAGGCTGAGTCTGCCCCCGAAGAACGCTCATCCTGAAGCACCCCAAGCTCATACTGCTTCTTCTTTCTCTGCGGCCTCCAGCTGGAAATCTGATCTCTCAAGAGCTCTTTCCAGCTCCTTCCAGAAAGCAATCATTTATTTTTCTGGCTCAGAAATACTTTTGGGAGTCAGGCATTCGTGGCTCACGCCTGTAATCCTAGCTATTCAGGAGGCTGAGATCTGAGGCTCACGGTTCAAAACCAGCCCAGGCAGGAAAGCCTGTGAGACTCTTATCTCCAATAAACCACTAGAAACCTGGAAGTGGTGCTGTAGCTCAAACGGTAGAGCATTCTTCTTGAGCTGAAGAGCTGAGGGACAGCGCCCAGGCCCAGAGTTCAGGCCCTATGGCAGACAAAAAAATAAAAAAGAAATACTTTTGGGCAGGGGTGTGGGGAGATTTGACAGGACTTGTTTAAACAATTCTAAGAGGCCTTCTTTTAGCAAATTACAAAACTAGGTTTGAACATGTATTTCTTTTCCTTTTTTTTTTTTTTTAAAGGTGCTGGGGTTTGAACTGAGTATTATGCTCCCTAGAAAAAACAAGCACTTTTCCGCTAAGCCACCCCTCCTTTTTTTTTTTTTTTTGGGGTCCAGTCGTGGGGCCTGAACTCTGGGCCTGGGCGCTGTCCCTCAGCTCTTCAGCTCAAGGCTAGCGCTCTACCACTTGAGCCACACCGCCACTTCCGGCTTTTTTCTTTTTGCTTATGTGGCGCTGAGGAATCGAACCTAGGGCCTCGAGCATGCAAGGCAAGCGCTCTGCCACTGAGCCACCTTCCCAGCCCCCCTCCTCTCCCTTTCTGCACTGACACAGACTCTAGTCCTGCCTGAGAGCATTTCCGGACCACTGGCATGACAGGTGTACATCAATATGCCCAGCCATGGGGTGAGAAGGGTTCTCTAGAACTTTCCTGCCTAAGCAGGCTTCATTTGACATTCCAATGTCAGTCCTTCCTAACTTCCCAAGTAGCTACCACAAGGGAAAGCTACTGCAACCGGGCCAGAACAAGCTATGTGTTCCTGTGTTCCTTCTTCTTCCTCCTCCTCCCCTCTTCCTTTTCCTTTTTTTGGGGGGAGGGGTGCGCCAGGGATTAAACCTCGGGCCTTACTCAATCACCCTACCACTTGAGTTTATGCCCCTAGTCAATTCCTTTTTTTTTTTCAGTTGTGGGACTTGAACTCTGGGCCTGGGCGCTGTCCCTGCACTTTTTAGCTCAAGGCAAGCTTCTACCGCTTAAGCCACAGCACCGCTTCTGGTTTTCTAGTGTTTTATTAGAGATAAGAGTCTCACAGACTTTCCTGCCTGGGCTGGCTTTGAACCGAGATCCTCAGATCTCAGCCTCCTGAGTAGCTAGGATGACAGGTGTGAGCCACCTGCACCGGCTGTCAATTCCTTCTTTATCTCTTTCTTTTTTCCTTTCTCCTCCTAGTACTGGGGCTTGAATTCAGGGCCTCAGCCCTCTATTTGCTCACAATGGGTGCTTTACTACAGGAGCTATGCCTCCAGTTTTTGCCAGTTAATTGGATAAGTCTGTAAGTCTGACTTTTCAGTTCAGTCTGGTTTCAAATTGAAATCTTCCAAGTCTTAGGACCCTCTCCCTTCCCTCCTCCACCCCCACCTCCACACCAGTAGCTAGGATTACAGGTGTGAGCCACTGGTGCCTGGCTAAGTATTTCTTTCAAATGAGAAAGTGGAAGATACAAATTAATGACACCCAGTGCCACACATATTCAGAAAAATAATACAATCTTTTGTATTTCAAGATGTAGTCTCACTGTATAGCTCAGATGGGCCTCAGACCCTCAATCCTCCTGCCTCAGCCTCTGTAATTACAGATGTGACCAACATACCTAGCTTACACTTATTAACCTCTTTTAGTAACCACCAGATGTCTCTTTTTTTTTCCCCACTATACTTTTTGTTTTGTTTTTTCTTTTTTGAAACTGAGGATCAAACCCAGGACGTTGTGCTTGTAAGGCAGGTGCTCTGCCACTGAGCTACCCCTCAGCCCAGAGACACGTCTCCCTTCCTTCTGACATTTTTTTTGGCTGAGAATGCTGGCTGCTTTTTCACAGTACAATGGTTCTGTAACATCATCTTCTGTATCAAGAACAGGAAGACAACTATGGTCTTTCTTCTCCCATAGGATCACAAACTTTTGTTTTTAAACATTGAAGGAAGTTTCTTTCAGCCTAAAATGTCAGCCTAAAAGGACAGGGACACTTTTAGGATTGTTGAGTTTGGTAAAACGCTGATCCAGGTCCATCTGCCTCTCTGTCTGTCTGTCTGTCTCTCTCTTCTCTAAACGGAAACATTTTAAGGCATTTCAAGATTTCTTCTCATCCTACCCGATGAGCTGTGATAGCATTCTTGGTGGATGTCATTATTTCCCAACAAATCAGCAGGAAATGTGTCTTCTGCTATCGCTTGTCTGAGTCACGCCTCTTTAGTAATGAAATGATGAAGCAATCTAAAGTCCTGTCTATGGCTTGGAATTTTTCAATATAGAAATTTTGGTAAAGCCTGAAAATGTATTATTCCCATCTTCCTGTTACTGGCAGAGGCATTTCTCTTAATCCTTTGGGTGCTGGAACTCAGCTTGAACTCCATCTTGTTTGGCTTTTCACTCACGGCTGAGGCTCTACCACCTGTGCCAGGCTTCCAGTCCACCTACTGATTCTATTACTCAACTTTAACTTCTGTTTCTTACATCCTTTTATTTTTTGGTATGGTAATCAGATTTGAATTCAGGGCCTTAAACTTACTAGACCAAGTGTCCTACCACTTGAGCCACGCCTCTGGCTCACGATGCTTTAGTGACTCTTCAGATATTGCATTTTTTCCCAGTCTAGCCTCAGACAGACTTTCCTAAGGATAGCTCCTGTTTTAGCTGAGATTGCAGACAGACATAAACAGCCACAGCTGGCTTTTCACCTTGTGCCCCGTGAGCCCTTAACCGCAATCCTGTCTGCCTCACTTGGAGCAGGGGACTGCAGGCATGCCCCACTACACCAGGCCAAGTCTATTCACTTTATTTATTTATTTTGTGTCAGTTGTGGGGCTTGAACTCTGGGCTTGAGCCCTGTTCCTGTACACTTCAGCTCAAGGCGAGCACTCTACCACTTGAGCCACAGCCCCACTTCTGATTTTCTGGTGCTTAATTGGAGATAATGGACGTTCCTGCCTGGGCAATCCTCAGATCTCAGCCTCCCGACTAGCTAGGATGACAGGTGTGAGCCACCAGTTCCAGGCTAAGTCTATGCACTTTAATATGATCCTCTCCCCTCAGATTCTGTCTTTAATAAATAAAATGAACAACTGCAAAACAGGTCTTGTTCAGAAGCATTCAAATTAGGGGTTTGCTGATTTCCCACTTGTTTCAGTGAAATATTCTAAAAAAAAAAAAAAAAAGGTCTCTAAACTGCAATTAAAGGGACATAATTGAACTTAAACACGTTTCGGAATAAACCTCTTTTCATTGGTCATGCTGAGGTTTCTTTTCTGGTCTTGGAAATTGTGTTTCCGAGTGGCTAGACTCCTGGCGTGACCCTGCTGCAGAACTTGAAAGTGTTTTAACAGGCTCACCAGAAAGTTTAGGTTGGCAGGTTTTTAAAAGATAGTTGGAATAAAATCGAATCACTGACAGCTCTCTCCTGGCCATGCTTTTTATGGGAAGTGCCAAGAAGCATAAGCCTACTTGGGGGGGGGGGGGCCGGGCAATTTAAGGGATGGTTCCCTGGGAGGGGGTTGAGGCCTGGAAGCTCCATCTTGGGGGACACAACAGAGAGCTGGGTCTACTCTCCTTGAACAGATTGGCCCTGAGGCAGGTCGGGCCCGGCTCCTGTGATTCTCCAAGCCCTTTGGAGAGGGAGACCAAGTGGCTGAAGGGAACATTGTGTTTTCTTGGAAAAGGCACGGTCTCTTCCACGTTAAATGGTCCAGGAGAGGTTAGCGGCAGAGGTCGCCCATGGGAGCCTCCACCTGCCTCTGGCCAGACTGTAGAGCTGCAATACTGGAAAACCAGGTCATTTCCCAGAAAATTCTCTCGATCACATGGAAGAGCTAGCAACACCTAGGCCTGAATTCTTACAGGGCAATAATCAGGACCTAGAGAATCACATGCACTAACCCAACTCTGGTCCCACAGGGCTGGGGTGTGTGTGTGTGGGGGGGGGGGGGGGGGGCGGAGAGGCCCTGGAACCGAGGGGTTTTGGATACCCAAATCCTACAAAACACCCCAGACACTCACTGCCATGTCCTGCGTGAGTGAAAAAAGGGTCAGGCGTCTTGGCCAGCTCATGGGGAACACCCATCCTGGTAGCTGGGAAAAGCCTGGGGGGGGTGGGGGGAGTCAGAAGCCGGGGAGATCTCTGATACTCCTAGGTGGGCAGTTCTTCAGCGAGTTGGGAATAAAGAAGAGGATTGTGTAAAAACCAAAGAGGACAGAAAGAAGACTGGTGCATGTGACCCCGGGGGAAACTGAGGCAGGCCGGGGCTTCAACCCAGCCTTTTCAGTTGGTGGCAGGACATCGAACCTCAGGATGTCCGGGTGCTCCGGACCTCGCGGTCTCGCCGAAGCCTTCCGGCCTCAATCCCCGCCATGACCTCTGACCCCCGGCGCCCCCCTCCCCCGCGCCCCCTCCCCCGCGCGGGCCCTCCCCCTTCACGCCCCGCCGCCGCGCGCGCTGACGTGCGTGTCCCCGGCCCGGCCCGCGCGTCAGTCCCGGCCCCCCCCCCCCCCCCGCCCGGCCCCAGGCCCCAGGCCCCGCGCGCCTCTCACCCGTGAGGCCGCCGCCCTTGCCGTGGCCACGGCGCCGCTGCAGCACAAAGAAGGGGTTGGCCCGCTCCGTCACCCACAGCGCGTTGGCCACCAGCACCTCCTCCGGGCCTAGCCACATCGCGGGGCCGCTCGCTCCGGGGCCGAGGCCCGCGAAGCGGAAGCGCCCGCCGCTGCCGCCGCCGCCGTCGCTGCGACGGAGCCCAGCGGGAGAGGCGGGGCCGGCGCGGCCGGGGGTGGGGGGAAGAGTGGCGCCCCCTGGTGGCGAGCGGCACCACGCACGGCTCCGCTAGTGCCGCCTCCTCTCAGGCCCCGCCCCGCCTTGTCAGGCCCCGCCCTTCCAAGCCACGTCCGCCATGGCCACGCCCCTATCCCTTTCAGGCCCCACCCCCTGTCCAGGCCCCGCCCCGCCCAGTTCTTGCAGTGATCAAGGGGACCGACTTGATGGTACAGAAAGCTGGGGCCCTGGCATTTGCGGGGAACATGCGAACAGATGTTCTGGGAGAAAATGTAAAGCACTAGCCTTCTTGGATATGCTACTTGCTGAGTAGCTAAGGGCGTCTGTAAGAGTTAAGCAGTTCCTGGTGATTCTCACGTTTACCCCCCACACTTTGAGCCTGATTGGAGGAATTTGCAAGAGTGGGTGATGGTTGTCAGGAACACTCCAGGTACGTAGTGTATCAGGATCAGTGCAGTTCCCTTACCTCGCACATGGGGGTCAGTGGGCTGGGTGGGTGGTCTTGGGGTTGGAGGTCACAGCTCGGCTTTGGGCCAAGTGGAGGTTTCGAGGTTTCACTGGGGATGCGGATCCCCACTGGCCTAGCAGACCCACTAACCATCCAAAGAGGGACCAGCCTAGCCTTGGCCCTGAGTCCAAACCCCAGGACCAGCGCACACACACACACACACACACACACACACACACACACACACACACACACACACACACACCAGAAGTGAAGCTGTGGTTTGAGTGACAGTCCTAGCATTGAGCAAAAAAGCTAAGGGACAGAACCCAGGTCTGATTTTAAGCCCTAGTAAGGATACAACAGCAATAACAAAAAGCATAAAACAAGCCTGGCTCTGGTGGCTGGAGCCTGTAATCCTAGCTACTCAGGAGGCTGAGATCGGAGGATCGCAGTTCAAAGCCAGCCAGGGCAGAAAAGTCCCTGTGAAACTCTTATCTCCCATGAACCACTCAAAGACCAGAAGTCATGCTGTGGCTCAAGTGGTAGACCACTAGTTTTGAGCACAAAGAGACTCAGAACAGCACCCACACCCTGAGTTCAAGCCCCACAACCGACAAAATAAGAATTAAAAATAAAACAAACCTCAAACTGCTGGGCCCTATCCCCAACGAACACTTCTAGGTGATGCTGAGGTTGCTGGCCGGGACACTACCCTTTGAGACCTTTTGCTTTTGTGTGTGCAGGTGCTGTCCTTGAGCTTTTTGCTCAGTGCTACCACTTGAGCCACTCTTCCACTTACAGCTTTTTGGTGGTTAATTGGAGATAAGCACTTCACACTTTCTTGCCCCAGCTGACTTTGAACCGCGATCCTCAGATCTCAACCTCCTAAGTAGCCAGGATTACAGGCATAAGCTACTGGCAACTGCTAGAGAACTATTCTAAGAAGAAAACATTTGTTGAGCACTTAGTATGAGCTTTCTTTTCTTTCTTTTCTTTTGTCAGTCGTGGGGCCTGAACTCTGGGCCTGGGCATTGACCCTCAGCTCTTCAGCTCAAGGCTAGTGCTCTACCACTCAAGCCACAGCACCACTTCCGGCCTTTTCTGCTTATGTGGTGCTGAGGAATCCAACCCAGGGCCTCATGCACGCAAGGCAAGCACTTTACCACTGAGCCACCTTCCCAGCCCAATGAGCTTTATTTTCTATGATATAATTCACATTCTATAAAATTCACCCCTTTAACAAAAATGCATGATTTAATAAGGTTTCATATATTCACAAGGTTGTGCAATCAGCACCACTACCTAATTCCAAACTCTTTCATCATTCCAAATGGAAACCCTGTACCTAATAGCAGTCAGTACTCCACATTTCTCCTTGACCCATCCCCAGCCCCTAATAACTTTGTATCTGCTTTTGGCTCTGTAGATGGGCCTGTTCTGGATCATTCATGTATATGGAACCATACCATATGTGGGCTTTTTGTGACCTAGTTTCTTTCATTCACCATAATGCATTTAAGACGTATCCATGTTGTAGCATGTCAGTGCTTTTTATGTTTTAGTTGTTCGTGGGGCCTGAACTCTGGGCCTGGGCACTGTCCCTCTGTTCTTCAGTTCAAGGCTTGTGAACTACTATTTGAGCCACAGCACCACTTCCAGCTTTTTTTTTGGCTTATGTGGTGCTAAGGAATAGAATCCAGGGCCTCATGCATGCAAGGCAAGTGCTCTACCACCGAGCCACCTTCCCAGCCCTCAGTACTTTATTTTTATGGCTAAATATTACCCCATGCTATGAACATACCAAATTTTATTTTATAGGTCCTTGAACTTGAACTCAGGGTCTAAGTGCTCTGTCCCTGATCTCTTTTGCTCAAGGCTAGCACTCTATCACTTTGAGCCACAGCTCTACTTCCTGTTAGGTGGTTACTTGGAAATATAAGTCTCACAACCTTTCCTGACTGGGCTAGCTTTGAACCTTGATCCTCAGATCTCAGACTCCTGAGTAGCTAGGATGACTGGCATGAGCCACCAGCTCCTGGGCACATGCCACATTCTTATCCATTTATTACTTAATGAGCATCAAGTTATTTCCACCCTTTGGCTAGTATGAATGTTGTCGTGGACATTTTTGTGTGTGTCAGTTGTGAGACCTGAACTCTGGGCCTGAGCATTGTATCTCAGCTCTCCTGCTCAAGGCTAGTGCTCTACCACTTGAGCCACAGTACCACTTCCGGCTTGTTCCATTTATGCGGTGCTGAGGAATCGAACTCAAGGCCTCATGTGTGCGAAGCAAGCACTCTACCTCTGAGCCACCTTCCCAGCCCCTATCATGGACATTTGTGTATAAGTTTTTTTTTTTTTGTCGGTCATGGGGCTTGAACTCTGGGCCTGGGCGCTGTCCCTCAGCTCTTCAGCTCAAGGCGAGCGCTCTACCACTTGAGCTACAGCGCCACTTCCGGTTTTCTAGTGATTTATTGGAGATAGGAGTCTCACGGTCTTTCCTGCCCGGGCTGGCTTTGAACCGCGATTCTCAGATCTCAGCCTCCTGAGTAGCTAGGATTACAGGCGTGAGCCACCGGCGCCCGGCCTGTGTATAAGTTTTTGTGTGAACATGTTTTTATTCTCTTGGCTACAGTATATACCTAAGAGTGCTACTGAAGGGCTATGTAGCAAAGCTATTTTTCTTTTTCTTTTTGGCCAGTATCAGGATTTGAACATAAGGTCTTGTGCTTGGTTGGTTTGCTTACTTGGCTAGTGCTCTACTATTTGAGCCATACCTCCAGCCCTGATTTTTGCTGGCTATTTTGGAAATGGAGTCTTGTGGACTTTTCTGCCCAGGCTGGCAGATCTCAGTTTCCTAAGTGGCTAGGATTATGTGTATGCTTCTAGTGCTTGGCTCATGTTTGACTATGAGTGACCATATAACTTTTCCAAAGCAACTGTACCATTTCACTTTGCTACCAGCAGTGCATGAATTTCAGTTTGTCATAGCTTGACACTCATTATTGCCTATATTTTTTGTTACTGCCATTTTTAGAGGGTGTAACATGGTTCTCATTGTGGCTAGCTAGCATGAACATTTCTCTAATGACTAATAATGTTGAGTTTTTTTCATATGCTTCCTGGACCTATTTTGTTCAGAGAAATGCCAACTCATACCTTTTCCCCATTTTTTAGCCTGGATTGTCTTTGGTGCGTGTGTTCCAGTACTGGGGCTGAACTCAGGGTCTCGGCATTGTCCCTTAGCTTTTTTTGCTCAAGGCTGCCACTTTACCACTCGAGCCACAGCTCCACTTCCTGGATTGTCTTCTTATTGTTGATTTTAGGAGTTCTTTATATGGATATAAAATACCAAGCCTACTTCTTATTTTAAATCTAATCCCTCCTTCATATAGCAACCCTATTAATAGGGTAGGTATTGTACAATTTCTACTTTAGAGATGATAAAGCTGAATCTAGATAGGTAAAATGACTAGCTATTCCTCACGAGGCTGTGGCAGAGGTGGTACTAAGGTCCAGACCTCATGGCACTGGTTCTTTTATATACATACTAGACATTTACTGCGTCTGCCCCCAACACTCATTTCTCCTTTGTGTTCTGTAGGATGTTTGCTGGAAGCTGCCATTCTGGCCTGGACTACCTCAGAGGGAAGAACCAGCTCCCGAGCGGATGGGGTGTGGGTGCACAACCCAGCAAAGCTGGTAGCTGTGTTCTTATGTTAGTATTTGTGGCCTAAAGCACACTGTATACAACACAGGCCTCCCCGTAGGTACTTGAGTTTCTGGGAGCTTTTGTTCTCTTTTTGTTTTAGCCAGTTGAGGCTGCGTTTTCTGGCACCGACATGTCACCACTAATAGTATTCCATGTAGCCAAAGCAGCTTTTTCAATAGATTTTTATTGAAATGGTTATATTAGCAAATTCCACACATACAAGTATACACTACTGGCATACAGGTATATACCATACAATTTCACTATGGAGTTATACTTACATCAGTCATGAGGGCCTCAGAGTTGGGCTGCCTGGAACATTTCCAAGGATTGGTAAGACCTGATTGTCAGGAAATCAGCTCACACTGTACTTCGTGTGTGTGTGTGTGTTTTCTAGACAAAGGTAACTCCCTCCCCCCACTAACAGTGAGCCCTCAAATTCAGTGAGTGATTAATGTGCTCCTCACATATTTGGTGTGTGTTCTTGCTAGCACAAGCACTCCAACGGTGAGTGAAAATTCAAGTGCATAGTTGGCCATTTCATTCCTTCAGATGCTTCCACACCTGCCACAATTATGAATATCCCAAGCCTCCCCCACCCCAAATTACCTGTGCTACGGTTAGAAAAATAGTTCTGTATGCCATCCTTTGAGATGTTGTGCATAGTTAGCAGGAGCCCAGAGTGCGAGGGCTTCGTAGACCCAAGTATGAAAGGGATAACTTCACTATTTCTATGAGTATAAAAGCTACGGAGGATCAGGTGAGAAACAATTGTGACATA